GAACACATCTACCACCTGGGACAGACTGGAAATATCACTGACCTATACATAGCCATTGTGAATAATTCAAGTACTGTAATGACTATGTTTATCTATCTGCATGTGTGTGTGTGTGTGTGTGTGTGTGTGTGAGAGAGAGAGAGAGAGAGAGAGAGAGAGATTATTTATTATTCTGTCACTAAAGGTTTGGATCAGGTTAAGAGATTCTTATCTTTAGATGCAAATTACTGTAAATTACAAAATGTCTATAGATGTCATCTGTTGCATGTCAAGTCACATGACCCAACATGTGCACCGCCCCCTAGAGTCAAACATGACTAGACAAAAATTGTCAAGGGGAACCTTTACCTTTACCTTACTATCAGGAGGAAGGGACATGATGGCACTGTGGGTTAAACCACAGAAGCCTCTGTGCTGCGAGGTCAGAAGACCAACAGTCGTAAGATCGAATCCATGTGAAAGAGTGAGCTCCCGTTGCTTGTCCCAGCTCCTGCCAACCCAGCAGTTCAAAAGCATGGAAATGCAAGTAGATAAATAGGTACCATCATGGTGGAAAGGTAATGGCATGCTGGTCATGCTGGCCATGTGACCACGGAAACTGTCTTTGGACAAACACTGGCTCTACGGCTTGGAAACAGGGATGAGCGCTGAGCAGTAGAGTCGGACACAACTGGACTAAATGTCAAGGGGAACCTTTGCCTTTACCTACCTACTATCAGGAGCACCTAGCAGAATTTACATTGCAAATATATATCAACTACTGAAACATACCAAAAAATGTCAGAAGAAAAATCATTTAATGCTTTACAGATCAGATTAAAGCATTCCACTTTGTGTATCATGAGAAGACATGGATTGTTCTAAAAGAAATAGGTGTGCCATAACATTTGATTATCCTGATACTTAACCTTTCCTCTGAACATGATTCCACAGTTAGTATAGAATATAGAGAAATGGAAGGGTTTCCAACAATAGTGTCAGGCAAGAATGTATTCTGTCTCCCTATCTGTCCAATTTATATGCAGAATATGGAAAACTGGATTATATTCAGATGAAGGAGGAGTGAAAATTTCAGGATCATTTAGGTGGTGGTGTGCTGTTGCAAAGGTTGGACAGTGAAGAAAGCTGACAGGGAGAAGAACTGATTCATTCTAAATTTGATGTTGGAGGAGAGTTTCCAGGAGAAAGATCTGGAGGGAGATAAGCTGAGAGATTAATAGATAAACCTTATTCTGCATATCAGGCAAAAACAAACAAATGAAGAAAACAAAAAGGTTGTGGCACCCTAAAGACTAACTGCTATATTTTAATGTGAGCTTTTGTGGGCAAGTCCACTTCTTCAGAGACCTTAATCTCTAAGACCTGAGCAGGGTCACCAATGATGGGGCCTTGTCGAAATTTTCAATTCACAGAGTCATTATAATTGGAACGCAAAATGCACCAACTACCAGGAAATTTGTGTTATCAGCTACAATTTTGTGAGTGCTTGGTGACCACATTGTGACTGTCAATATGTTTTGTATTCTGTTTCCCTCTGCTGTTACTGTCTGAGACCTACCCATAGCCATGTGTACTGAATATATTCCTGAATTTCTGCATGACACTCTTTGTATCTGATTATATGGGCTTTGGTCCATAAAAGACTCATGCTATAATCTGTGCAGTGGAGCTCTTTTTCACAGCAGCAGACTAACAGGATTATACCCTCTGGAATATGTATGCAATGATAATATTGGTCTGTGAATCCCCCCACCCCCACCTCAGTGTGTGTGAGAGAAAAAAAATGGATCAAGCAATTTTACGTTGTTTTGCTTGGGTTGATGTGTATCCACTGTGCAGGTATTATTTCTAATATGCATTTTCATTTCCAAATACTGTTCATAGGTTCATTAACGTTACAATGAATATGTGTAAGAAAATTAAAATCATCTTATAAGGGCAATCACATTAACATTGGCCAGAAAACTAAATAATAAATGATAGCATAAAATGAAAATTACTATTTTCAGCTGCTTTTGCAAACAGAATAACAAGGTGTAGAAGACATGGTGCCTATTAAATTTTAGGATGGAATGTATGCTTTGCACCTGGCACCTTTCCTGAAAATGTCCATCGCTAGTTAAATCTGCTATAACCTTTTCCGTCTCTGTTATTCCATGCAGAGTGGTCATACATTCTGTCTTACTGAAGACAATCCACTATTTGGCAATTCTATTTAACAAAGACAATCCTGTTTTAATGGGGCTGCCCAGTCCAATTTAATCCAACCCTTGAAAAAAGGAAAGCAGTGACTCAGGAATTACCCATCAACAGTTTGGACAATAGACACAGATCAACTGACCATAGCCTTCCAGGTTATGATAAAAGGTAATGACCAAAGTCCTGTTGCATAGCTATGCTTGCATAACTTGAAGGTGTGAGTGGTAAAATCCATACAAAGGCAGAAGTCACATCTAGCAAGCAATGCTGCAGGTTCATCACACAGCTAGCTACATAAACAGCTATGCAGTCAATACAATCATGCATGCAGTGGGGACTTCCTGGGCATAACTCTTTTCAAAGATCTGCAGGTATAACTTTATGCTATGCCACATTCAGCAATCATATTTCTCTCTACATGCTAGCGCCTAATTCTAACTTTATCTCTTTATATAAATTAGCTCATGCATATTTTATGCAAACTTGTTTCCTTCTCTCCTCTTTTTTTTTGGGAACACATAATGAAAAACATGCTAAAAGCAATCTTGTTTACTGCAGAACCAGGCCAGAGTCCCAGTTTAATGAGCCAGATTGCATCACAACACAGAAACCTAGACACAGCTTGGAAAAGTTGCTTTTTTGGACTATTAACACCCACAATCTCTATGGCTACAGTTATCCATTGTCACATCTCTTTTTTTTTGTTTGTTTAATATAACTTCTCTTGTGCCTGTTCCTTCAATATCCAGACAAGCAAGTAACAGGAAGCATTTTTAAAAACATACTATTAGAAAAAAGTGCCCCTTGCATCTCTTCAAGATTTTCATTTTGTTGAAATGGATACTAAACAGAGGCAGTGTTTGGAGGAGTTGGCCACATGAGAAGCTGACAGACTGGAGGAACAGGCTCTGAGTGAGGCAAGGAGGAGACTACATCAAAGGACAGGAAAGTGAAACAAGCAACAGGACTTAAACTACAAGTCTAGATAAATAACTAAGACGATTTAGTCTGAGAAGAGGACCCAGGAGAATGGGACATGCCAAGAACAGACCTGCAGCAAGCTGGAAATAAGATCCAAGAAACTCTTATCAGAAAAGGTTTGATTGAAGTTTTCAGATCTGAGACTGATGACATGTGTAGGATTGGAAATTAGAGAAACTGTGAGAAGAGAAAGTAAGGCTAGACGTTTTATCCTCTGAACTGAATAAAAAGCAGAGGAAGTGTGCATGGTTGGCCAGCCGAGGGACTTGAAAAATAGGTAAAAATAGATAGGTAACTACATTTTGGAAGAAAATCAGAGATGATAAAAAGAAGAAAAAACAATTGGTGCTTCTACTTCTAGAAAGAAGGACCTATAGACCCATGTCTAGAGTTGCTTTTAGAAGTGTGTGATATGACTGAGGAAGAGCTGCTTGGGAGCTGCCATTCAAAGCTATGAATCTGTGCACCTTTATTTGCTTTTCATGCCAAAGTTTTGGAAACCTTGAGCAACAATGGAGGACTGTCCTTTAGGTGCAGCCTGTGTGGGCATTTGAAGGGAGGGAGAACAGAGCTTCCACATTGGCCACAACCTTACTATTTGCACCAGCTGACATAAATCCATCAGCATATATTTTGGTGTTGAATTGCTGCTGCTTTAAAAGTCAGCCGTTTTATTTCTTGTTGCCCAACAGTTACACGAGTGCTGAATAGTTACAAGAAGCAGCAACTTCTTAATGAGCTTCAATTTGTCGCTTAAATGTATGCTAGTGGATTTCTGCCAGCATAACTTTTCATTGTGACTCTGTCCTCTGTCTTGGAAACATGTTGAGTGTTCTAGAAACTTGCTTGAATTTCCAGTAAAAATGCATAGTGGAAGGACTTTGCTAAGTCCAGTACCAGGTGCTATGTATCTACCAGGTACTGGACACAGCAGAGTCTCAGATCTTTTGCCTTGGATCTGTACGTGATTCTCATCAGAACATGTGTCTTATCTAACTGAAAGCCATGTGTCTAAAACCAGATGTGTTCAAGTAATACACATCTGCATAGCACAAACACAGAAGAAAAAAACCTGATCTTCCAAAGATGATGTGAAAGAAACCAAACACTTGCTACTTTAAGGTAATGTTTGGTTTTGCTTCTACCTTTAAAAATCTTTATTTGCAGGGAGAATTCAAGTATAGAATGTTTTGCATTGATTTTAACATGCAGCTACAAAGTGAAGTGTTCCCTTTCCTGGGTAAGGAATTATCCTGAATACAGTGCAATTTTCCTTCTGATTTTCATGACTTTATGCTATGCTTTTAGTTGCTTTTTACGGCATTGACATCAAAACAATTTATTGTGGGCTGTTAAAGAAGTGGCTGTTATCCTCAACCTTACTAATTATTGACCTGATTTTTAAAAATTGTTTATGAAAGGTTAGAACACCATAAATTGGAGGGATGAAAGTCACTTTTACTGGAAGTGATCCATAGATTCCCATTGTGATGTAGATACCCAACATAGTGTAGTGGACAGAGTAACAGACTAGGACTCAGGGGTTCAAATTCTATCTCAGTCATGGAAACCCACTGGGGGAGTACAACTGATAAAAGCACTCCTTAAATATCTCACTTACCATCAAAGCCCTATGAAGGTCACTATACAGAAGCTCCAACTTGAAGGCAACAAACAATCCACAGAACAATATTTGTGTTGAACCAAATGATGCTTGGTTTTGCGTGCTGGGTTGGTAGGAATTGGGCGTACTTACGTAAATCTGTGTCCTGTTTTGTTGTTTGTGCTGAAGCAGAAAAGGAGGAGGTGCCATTCCCCCCCCCCCCCCAGAAAGATAAGGTGATTGAAATCAGTGAAACTGGATGAAATGACAGATCAGCTTTCAGAATTTCAGACTGAAGCAATCCCGGTTAATAGGTAAGCTTACTCAACACTTCTCCAAAAGGTTTTGTGTACATCTATGTTTCATCTCCCAAAAGAACAGCTGTTATTTTGTGAAAGGTGTTCATGAAAGCAAGTATAGAAATATAAATATTGTGTGCTATGTTTGTTTCTTTTAAACTGTAAACATTAATTCAGACTCTACACCAGTGACTAACCATTAAATACATCTCTATAGCATTTTTGCTTGATTTTAATCTTTTGAGTGAATTTGAGTGAATTCACATGCAAACATACAACGTATATTGTGCACCGTTTAAAATAATCCATGTACAGTATTGTATCTAAGAGAGACAAAGGTCTGTTGTGCAAAACTGAGATTATATCTTTTTCCTCTTTTTTTACACTACTCATCTGTAGTGTTTTTGTACTAGATGGCAGTGTGGTTTGTCGTAAACCTTATTCATTCATTAAAATAGCATTTGACACCCAAACACAGATCTACTAGTACAGGGTGTGATTTCAAAGGCAGGGCAAGTGTTGTAGTTCAGGTCTGACTTCTATTCATAGTAAACCTGCACATGCATAACACATTAAAGAATTGTAACACTTCAGACTACTGCTGGAGAGATTCAATATTTTGAAAGCTCTGCTGTAAAAGCTCTCACACCATTCCAAACTAGCATGCAACAGAAACAAAAGATCCTAATCCAGCCTAATCCAGTTCTGAAAATCTTGTATTTTCAGGAAAGTTTAAAAGGAACAATGCAGAAGCAAATTAAAAAGGTAGCTTCTTTCCTGCACTTTGAAGTACAATCCAGTCTTGCTCCTTAGATGTCTGCCACCTTATTCTGGGTGTATGTGTCCCTTTATCTGCTATATTCCAGAAAGTGATACCAGTAAATAACTACTTTATTAATCTTATTTTGTTGCAGTGTAATTACTGCACATATCTTCCCCACCCCACCTTTAGCTGGGTGCAACCACCTAAGATGGTTGCTTTAGAAAATGCCATTACACATAAGAAAAATGGAGAGTGTTTCCAAGTATGTACGATTTATAGGTTATTATCTATACTGTGACAAGGCTGTGAAATTAGGAACAAAAGGTCTGGTTGATGAAACTACTGTGCTCCCTTGAATCTTACAGGAGCAAGTCACAAGGTACAAAGCTCAAAAGCTGCTCAGCTATTTTATCTAAGAGCAACAGTCTTTCATGCTGGTTATTATTGAGTTTTACCCTTGTATGGCAATTTTCCAACTAAAACAGTCGCCCTTTGTACCTGGTGAAATCTAAGTAAAGCCAAACTGGCTGGATTTCTTCAGAACTGCTTGTTGCCAAGATTTCCATGTCTTTGCATGCACCCAAATATCTTTAACTAGCAAAGTTTTTTTTTAGTCAAAACTGCTCCTTGTGTCTTATACAAACAACTACTCCTGCACTGATTTTTGCTTCCATTTTGCTCACTTCTGGAAAAATTATGTTTCAGCTGTAAGAGTCATGGATTGCTGGAAGAAAATGCAAAGCAGCGGATGGTTTTTCCCCACTTCGATCCTTTGCATATACGGCTTCTTCAGCATGATGAGGCCCTCTGAGCCTTTCCTCATATCTTACCTTGCTGGACCAGAGAAAAACCTGACTATTGATGAGGTAAAGTGAAGTATGCTTTGTTTGCTTTATTGAGTTTGGTAGAATGAACAGTATTGGTCTTCTTCCCTCACACATACAGCAGAAACTCTAATTTTCTCCAAACACTTCAGTTTTCCGAGGAAGATACCACTAATCTGCCAATATGTTGACTCAGCAAACATTTGTGGAGAGTGCCTCTTTCAGAACTCAAGCAATCCATTATTGTAGGGAGCAGCATATGGAGCCAGTGCAGTGTAGTGGTGGTGAAAACTTTTACCCGCTATTTGCTCAGGTCACATTCTAGTCTGTACTGAGGCATTAATTTCACAGAGAAACCTCAGAGCATGCACTTTTTGTCAGCCAGTCCAACTGACAAAATGTTGTAAGGATATACTCTACTGGGTTGAGGAGACCCATTATGACCTTAATGTCATTGAAGGAAGAGTGGGATGTATGTGTAACCAACTACATAATTTGAACTTTAGATGTATATAGACGGGAGGGTAGATCTCTGCTGGTTGATTTCTCTTAGTTCCTTCTCCCCACAGGCTTCTATTCTGGTTAGATCTGTAACTCTCTCCTGAAGTCATAGTTCTAATCCTCTTCTTTGACACCACAGTCTCCTACTGTTCTTTTCTGAGGACAAAGGTTCCATTAATTTGTTTCTGAAGAAGACACTGATCTTCTGGAGAACAGGACTGAGACTAGGAGCCTCCTCGTGTGTTGGATGCTGGGAAGCCAAGAGTAGTGACAAAATACTGGGGACAAGAATTCTGTGTGACAGTCCCCACAGCCAGCCTTCATTCAAGGAAAGTCTAATAACACAGGCAGCAAGATTGGTCCATATTAACAAATTAATTGCTATCCACTGCTAACTCGTCCTCAAGACCTTGGCATTACAACAAGGATAGCTCATTGCAATATACTGTCCGTAGAATAATCATTCTCTCTCCCAGCTACAGGAAGTGGCACAGCTAAGGAAAGAGGGAAGTCTGCAGAGGGGACAAGGTTGATCTCATAGTCTCTGCTAATAAAAAAGTCCCTACATTTCACCCTACATGTCTTGGCTCCACTATACCTTTGTTGATGTAACATTCAATTGTTAAACTAGTGTGTTTCTCAAGGGGAAGGAACACCCTCCTATCTTTTACTGTAAGCAGCAAAACGTCATTAGATGATTTTACATACTCTATTTGGAGTTTATCTGTATATCCTCTGTGTAGACAGGCTGTATCTATCAAGTAAGTTGTTTTCTTCAAAAAAGGCAATATACCAAAAAGCAACACCACCCCCCCCAAGTAATACTTTCCAAGCAGTTATTGCCAACCATCCCTTTTCTGAAAAGGTGACACTTAAGGCAAGACTAGAACCAATGCATGACATATTATGTTGTAAGCCGCCCCGAGTAGACATGGTCTAGAGGGGCGGGGTATAAATTTAATAAATAAATACATAATAAATAAAAATATTCAAGTGGAGATTGGACAGTATGTGTAGGAGATGCTGAGACTCAATCCTATAATGACATGTTGCATGATTTAAACTTATGGATGTATTTGAAATATAGCTAAAATTAAAGACAAATTAAAAATATTAAAATAGACTATTTTTTGACCAGAAGCAGGCTACTTCAATAGCATTCTTTAGTTTTGTTATGCTTTGTTTGTAACAAACATAATTGGCTTTGTGTGCACATATAGGAGTTAATCCTTAGCAAGAAAGCTGATTCCATTCCTTTCCAGCACAGATTAGGACACTGCTTTTTTCTGGCTAGCATTAGCAAAGCTAAAGTAAGAAATGATGACGATAAAACGAGAGAACACATAACTGTGAATAGCACCAGAAGTAGCAATGCCAAGGATGATCTTTTAACAGTTTTGTCTGCTTTGGCCATTACATCTGTTCCTGGATGGTCTGGCCACCATGACAGCTAGTCATGTCCCAGCTGTGTCCTTACAATGCATTAGTACATGAATGTGCCCTTGAAAATGACCCACAAGCTTTACTGAGATCAAAGCATGGCTGTCAAAATATTCACTGGTGCAGCAATGTTGATTTAGATTAAATCAGTCTCAAAATAACTGCATGGGTTGCCTATCCATTTCCAGGCCCAATGTGAAGTGCTGGTACTTACCCTTTAGAACCCTGGAAACAGAAGTATCTAGAGGAGCAATACTCTCTCCTATACTGGTCTAGTTACATTTTGACACCTTCTGTTGAATCTCTTCTTCATCTGTCTGCTTTTTAAAAAATTATTATTTTTTATTTTCAGAACAAAAACATTTTAAAAAGTGCAAAATACTTACTACACAATCTAAACTACCGTCCACCCCATACCACGGGACCCCTTAGAACAATACTTTTACTACGATCTTCCTTTCCAAAATTGTAAAATTCCCAATATACTTGTGATTTGTTGAGTACTGGTTGAAAGGTAGTTTTAGACCACATAGGTGATATTTTAGGTAAGATAGAATTGTTGATTTAATAGAAAAGCTGCTGTCAATTTAGCTCTGGAAAACAAATTTGAAACCACTAGAAAAACTGAATGTATGCTTTGTGTCAGAGGAAACAGCTAAAGACTAGCCTAATGCCACTTTTCCCCATCTGGTGCCTTTGGGATACGTCGAGCTATAGCTACCAATGGTCCTCCTAATTGGGACTGATAGAAGATGCATTCCACCACAATGGGGAAGGTTGAAGTGGTCCATTGGAAGATACGGACCACTCAAATAGAACCACTGCAAACAAAAAAGTATCAGAGACACAAAACAAAACAGAAGAAGCTATTAAGGATAAAGAATTTGTACACAAGCTACCATAGATTACCTGGGTCAAGGTAGGAAACCTTTGGTTGTCCAGATTGTTTTGACTTACAACTCGCATCAAACCTACTCAATGTGCCTACTTTGTAAGATTATGAGATCTAGCTCTGTGCCACCTGTTCGAACCTAGGTAACCAGCCTAGTCAGCCTCCCTCTGTGTCCCTGGTGTTGATAAATGCCAGGTCTGCCCACAACAAAACCCAACTCATCCAGGACTTTATCCTGGAGGAACAGGCAGATCTGGCCTGTATAACTGAGACATGGGTGGGCGCTGAGGGCTGAGCTACTCTTTCCCTCATGTGCCCACCTGGGTATGCCATCCAACACCAGGGCATACCCAGTGGGTGGGAGGAGTGGCCATTGTTTATAAGGACATATTTGAGGCTGCTAGGCTTTCTGCAATGGCAAGCCCAGGTCTAGAGGCCATCTATGTGTCGTTTGGGGCCAGGGGTGGCTTTGGTATTGTGCTGGCTTACTGCACTCCCCGCGATCCAGCACAGTCTTTGCCGGAGCTGGCAGATTTAGTCTCCATGGCACTGTTGAGGTCCTCCAGACTATTGGTTCTTGGGGACTTCAACATTCACGTGGTGGCTGAGGGGCAATATATCCTTGTTGGTCCTCCTTGATACCTCAGTGGCCTTTCATAGCGTTGACAAATGTATCCTCCTGGGGCAGCTCTCTGAGTTGGGAACTGGTGGTCTCACTTTGGCATGGCTCCGTTCCTTCTTGGAGGACCATCCCCAGACAGTGCAGCTTGGTGAGATGACTTCCACCCCATGGATCCTCAGTTTTGGGGTTCCGCAGGGGTTGATCATCTCACCAATGCTATTTAATATTTATACTGCTGGGTGAGGTCATCCAGAGTTGTGGGGCCCTGTGTCATTAGTACACTGATTACACCCAGCTATACCTCTCCTTTTTTCCTACTGCAGTGGATGCTGCTCCGAGCCTTGAACACTGCTTGAGCACTATTCTGGAGAGGAGGAGGGCAAATGGATTGAGGGTGAATCCAGACAAGATGGAAATCTAAAATGGATTGAGGTTGAATCCAGACAAGATGGAAATCGTGCACATGGGCAGCCCCGGCGTCAGTGGATTAGGAAACTCCCTCTCCTTTGGGGATGTGACTCTTCCCATGAAGAGTGAGGTTTGCAGCTTGGGAATCTGCTTGGACCCGGAGCTCACCATGGAAACCCAGATGGCATCTGTGGTCTGGGCAGCCCATTTCCATCTTTGGAGGATTACCCAGCTGCGTCCCTATCTAGACATGGGGGCATTCACACTGATTCATGCCCTCGTAATCTCAAGAATAGACTACTGCAGTGCTCTCTATGTGGGGCTACCCTTGAGGCTGATGGAGTAAAGAAATTCCGGCACATTTCCCCCACTCTGGCTGCCCTTCATTGATTACCGGTTCGTTTCCGCATCAGTTTCAAGGTTATGATAACATTCAAAGCCCTAAACGGTTTAGGACCTAGGTATCTATCAGAATGCCTGCTCCTAGCCAGATTCGTCTGTAATACCCATTCTTCACAGGCAGGGCGGCTGAGGGCCTTGACCCAGAAGGAGGCCCGGAGGGAAAGAACAAGACACCAGGCCTTCTCAGCTGCTGCCTATGGAACGATCTGCCTATTGAGATCTGCCTGTCACTCTTGCTGGATGGGTTCAAAAGAGCATTGAAGACCTGGCTCCTCCGCCAGGTTTTCCCGGAGCACTAAGATCTCGCCCTCTCTTTTTACCATCCTTTTCGCCATCCTCTCCATCACCCTTTTTACTACCATTATTGCAATCTGTTTTAATTTCCCTATTTGTTATGTTTTAATTTATTTATGTACGTGTTTTAATATTGTTCCTAATACTGTTGCTAGCAGCCCAGATTGGCCTGGTTGCCAGATGATGTGGGCTATAAACAAACAAACAAACAAACAAACAAACAAACAAACAAATAAATAAAGCAAAAACATTTGGAAGGAGGAACATTACCCACATCTAGCCTAAGGTAGGTGAAGGAAAATTGTGGACCTTCAATTGTCGTTGGATTGTAATTTCTACTATTCCTTATCAATTTGTTATGCTGCCTAGAGCAGATTGGATCTGTACTCCAACAACCTGGCTGCACATTGCACAACTCTAGCATCCCCCAATAAGTTCTCATTGTTATTAGTCTTGCAATTGCATTAAGCAGCTATATATTATTTTCCATGTATCCTAATTCTCATTCTCAGTATTACAGTATTCCTCCTTTTCTCTCCAGGTAACACAACATATTCTACCAGTTTGGACATACTCCTATCTGGCTCTACTATTCCCTGTGTTCCTGATAACAGACTATGTATGTTATAAACCTGTCATTATTCTCCAGGGAGCTAGCTTCATTGCTACTTGGTTGTTGCTTTTATTTGCACGTGGTCTGCCGGCCATGCAGCTGATGGAATTTTTCTATGGACTTGTGACTGCTACAGAAGTTGCCTATTATGCCTACATCTACAGTGTTGTCAATGCAGACTACTACCAGAAAGTTACAAGTTACTGCAGAAGCATCACTCTAGTGGCATCCACCATGGGCTCATTACTGGGTCAGCTTTTAGTTTCTTTAGCCTACGTGCCTTATTTTTATCTCAATGCCATAACACTGGCTTCTGTTTCTGTAGCATTCATATCTTCTTATTTTCTGCCCATGCCTCAAAGAAGTATGTTCTTTCATAGAAAGTCTTCCCAAGATGGATCAGATAACTGTCCCCCAAACATACCAAACCAGCCTAACTACCAACAGAACAAAAACATTACAATGACATCAGTCAACTCCCAGAACTTACCTGAATACCAGTTACCTCAAATTCAAAACCAGAATCATTTTCTAGCAGTGCTTTTACACCTATTTAAAGACTTGAAGGAATGCTACACCACAAAGAAACTTCTTTTTTGGTCAGTATGGTGGGCATTAGCTACTGCAGGCTTTAACCAAGTTCTGAATTATGTCCAAGCATTGTGGGATTCTAAAGCACCTTCCCAAAATTCTGATATTTACAATGGAGCTGTTGAAGCCATTGCAACATTTCTGAGTAAGTATATGATTCTATGGAAATGAAGATACAAATACATTGCAAATACATGCAATTCAAGTTTCTTCCAGTCTAGTACAGAAAGCACAACACTTAAACTGCCTTTTAATAATCCACAGATTCCAGAAGTGTACAAAGAACTTTGACATACAGAACTGCTGTATGTGTTTCAAAGATTGTTTGTCCAAGCAGGGAGTGAATACCACCTCTGCAAACTCAGAAGAAAAATGCAGCCACATGTGCAATGGACAAAGAGGATATCAGCCCATCTTTCAAGTTCAGCATGTTTTATCTAGCTTCATTTGGGCTCGTAGCTATATTCTCAGTATTGCCACACTGGCTGTTCTCAATATGTTTTGTTAGTCACTTTGAGCACTTGGAAGACAGGCAGGGAAAGTGTATAAATAGACAAGGAAGGTACATCTGTAAGGGGAAAAATGATACTGATCCACTGTGCCACTGATCTACCTGCCCTCCTATGATAATATTTACCCTTGTAGTATTCAGTTGATCAAGGCTCCAAGCACATGAAAGATCAGGTACCAGACATCTTTCACTTTAACCCCTGTTTCAGAAGTCCGGTTGCCAGCTATGTTCATTAAATCATTGTTTCTAAAAATAATTGTTATGCCACCTTCCCATTTAAAAAAGTGATTAAGGGATCTTGTTGTATTTAAAGAAATTCTGTTATTTTAAAAGCTTTCAAGTAAGCTTGTGGTTCTGCAATGTCTTACAAGCCTCAAAGCTTATTTATTTCTAGGTTCGCTAACATCACTAGCTGTGGGATATGTGAAAATGAACTGGGATCTAAATGGAGAGCTGGCACTGGGAATCTTTTCGGCTCTGGATGCTGGTTCACTGTTTCTGATGCATTTTACCAAGAATATCTGGGCCTGCTATGCTGGCTATCTAATTTTCAAGGCATGTTACATGCTCCTTATAACTATAGCCACGTAAGTACTGTATGTACATGTATTCCACTTATTTTGCAGTTTGGGCCATGGGATGCAGATTTCATAGATTCATCACTGACACTAAAACATTGGGGAAGAATGGGAAATAGTGTCAGGATACACACTCATAAAAAAGTGCTCAAGTGGGGAATTTAGAAAGTTTATTTCTTTCATACTTCCCATTTCAGGAATACAGTAGCACCATAAAAATGCACCAGTCCCTCCATGGCCCCATAATATATAGTGGTGCCTTGACTTACGAATGCCCCGATCTACAAAAAAATTGACTTACAAACAGCTCCAGCCGCAAAATTTTGCTTTGACTTGCAGCCAGAGCTTTGACCTACGAATAAAAAAAGGTAGGGGAAAGGGGCGGGAAATTTAAAAAACAAAACAAAAAGCCTAACTGTTGGTAGCGAAGAGGCTGCTGTGGAAGGCCGGGTGAGCTAACAGATGGCTCCCAGTGCAAGGAGGGCTGACGGTGCAGGGGGGAGGGAGGAGGAGGGTGTGTGTGTGTGTGTGTCCCCTTTCCCAGGCCAGGTAGGGGGGGAGGTGGTTGGTTCCTTCCTTCTTCGTAGGGAGAAGGGGGATCCTGGCCTCCAGGTCCTGAGCCTTTGGTCCAAGTAGCAGGGTGGGGGTAGGGAACCTGGCCTTTCCCCTGGCACGCAGGGGGGGTGAGTTATTCGCAGGGGGGAAGCTGTCATGGTCAGCCCTTCTAGGCAGCAGGTGGGCCTTGGCCGTGTCCAGCCTCAGGGGTCCCCAGGCAGCCCTTATCAGCTGAGAACGTGCCCATATGCATGCAGACACATTCCCCCCGCCGCTGCGTGGGCCCCGTCGCCAGTGAGACCACCCCACCACCGACAAAACCGCTGTCCAGGAACTCACCCGGTCTTCCCCACCACCTCCAAAACCACCCCGCCGCCGCCGAAAGCACTGTCAGTGAAGGAAGGCTGGGTGAAGTACCAGATGGCTCCCCTCTGACAGTGGTTGTGGCGGCAGCCACGCCCACACGGCTGCAGGGAAGGATGGGTGAGTTATTGGATGGCTCCCTGGTGGTGGGCCCAGGTGGCTGACCTTGGCCAGGAGGCTAGAGAGAAGGCAAGTGTGCTATTTACTGTTTTGGGTGGCTTTTGCAGGGTGAGGTTGTTTTGGGGGGTTATTTTTATGTTTTGTTTTGTTTTTTGCAGCCCCAGGGGCTTGCAGATTTTTATGTTTGTTTTTGGGGGGTTATTTTTTTCTTCGGCCAGAATGGATTAATGGGTTTTCAATGCATTCCTATGGGAAATGGTGCTTTGACTTACGAACATTTTGACTTACAAATGCCATTCCAATATGAATTAAGTTTGTAAGTCAAGGCACCACTGTACTCTAAATATTCATAGCAGCCATGAGTAAAAACAAAACATGGACTGTTTACACTAGTACTTATTTACAGGGTTTAAGCCAAGCATATGACTCCCCTTCATGACAATCTTTTGGGATATGTATTAGCTGTATTTCCTTATTACTCATGCACCAGGATGGCATGCTAGTCCTTTAGTGCAGTTATTCTGCAGGATTTTTCTTTTTCTATATGGAGACAAAAAATAGCATTTAATATATTTTAGTTTCTAATACTAGAGTATTTTTCCATCCTAATCAATTTAAGGTACTGGGACAGTTTTCAGCAAGCTATGATGCAGAGAACCAGAAATAATGCATAAATTTTAATACTTGTGCATGAAGGTTACATCCCACTGTAATCACTGTGATTCTGTAGATGCTTAATACCTTGTCACCCCAAATGTCTCACCCAATTTCACATAAATACATTTGAGGGGAAAATCAGACTGGCCATATATTCCTTACTTGTTATTATAGGCTGCCTTGATATGCTTCATCTATTCCATTCTAATGAGATAGTTCACGCTGCACATATTTCAGCCAAACATACTGCTCAACATATTTTACCTCTCTCTGCAACAGTTTTCCACTATGCCTTAGTAAAAAGCATATTAAATAGTTTTATTTGTAGCCACTAAGAAAGATAAGGTAAACTGCAGAGTACTACTGCTCTAAAAGAAATTTAATTTCAGATTTCAGATTGCTGTCAGTCTTGGCATGGAACGCTACGCTTTAATGTTTGGATTCAACAACTTTGTTGCACTGCTACTTCAAACTATTATTACAGTTATAGTAGTGGATTCCAAAGGACTGGGATTGGACATTGAAATTCAGGCAAGTTGGACTGTTTATATTATATGAACATAGTGGTCACCATTACCAATTAGTAGTCTTTAAGTCAAAGATCAGGATATTGTGGCCTCTTTGGGGTCATTCCCCCAATATTTTCCGCTGCAAAAAAGAGGAAATTGCTGCTCTTGGAAATCTAGTGACTTTCTTTCTAAACAAATTGCAAGCTCCCTTGCATTAAAAAAACTTTTAAAAGTAATTTTTACAAGCCAATAACGGCATGTCTGGGCTCATTTGGTTTTCTACATTTGGGGAGATTTGTGTGACATCTGCAGATGTTGAAGTCTCCAGATCTTGCCTATCCCTTGTTTAAATGCTTCATATCTTCTCACAGGCTGCAATCCAATCCAATCAATGTACGTCCCTGAGTCAATTCCTAATCTTGACCATGTTGCTGAGAATGATAAAAATTGTAGCCAAACACACCTGAGAAACACCAAGTTGGGAAGGCTGCTTGAGGACAACGGGCAACATTTTAATGTACAGTAGCTTGCTTCTTGGGGTAAAATTTCACAAGCCAGCTTATAGCAAAATGTTTCCAGTCAACGTATCCTTCTAATTTTCTCTCTCTCGTAATTTTGCAAGTGTGGGGCTCCGTTGCAACTGGAACCAAAGGGGCTGAAAACAATCGCTGTACAGAGGAGAAAGAAAACTGCGTGGAGGATACCTTGTTTCCAGTCTATTTTAAGGGACATGATAGTATATCCGGGAGTAAACTTCATGAACACATTAGTACTTACTTGAGCAAAAATACACAGATTGCACTGCTTGTGAATAAGCAAAACATGGCTGGCAGCTTCACAACTAACCCCAAGTAACTTGTCACAATTTACCATTTTGATACCTCCAGGGTTATGCTTCTTCCTTTTTATAGCTCTGGATGGCACATTTGTTAACACTATTTTCCCAGTTATTCAGCAAATCACTGATACTGAATACCCCACCAAAGTAGCAGCATAATTAATAATTTCTTTTGGTACTTAATTTTTGGGCTCAATAATGCAGGTTAAAAAATTCAGATAAACCAAGAATTTATTCCTAGAAGTAACATTCTTATCTCCACATTTTTGGTCACTTCAAAATAATTATTAGTGGGCCTTCAACAATATTCACTCCATATAAAAGAAAGGATTCCTCTGAAAGTCAAACATACCTTTGGAATATGAGAAATAGTTACAATTGCTACCAAGATGCTCAGTATTCTTCAGAAAATAATCTTCTGATAGTTTCATTTAATTACTGGAGTGGAGGTTTTAACTCCATATTTGTGTAGGTTGTTACTTTTCCTGTTTTCTTAATGCATCCATTTAAGACAGCATCATTGTGTACACCAAACACGAAGTAAGAAACAGAAAATGGAAGAAGGAAAAAATATATATACAAAGCATAATAAAAAACAAATCTACTTCATAGTTAGAACATTTAAAAAAAATATCTCCCAAACCTGCTTCAAAGATCTTGCTAAAGAAATGTAAAAAGGAGGATAAAACTACCTCACTTATAGATGTGTTTAGCAAATTTCCAGACTTTTCTCCACAACACAAGTTCTAGAGCCATTTTGAGTCAATTTTTGAGATGGTAGGTGGAAATAATTTCCTAATACCTCCAGACTTACCAAACTCTAGATGTAGCCAAATCTTCAGTCCCATTAAAAAAAAGAATAAAACCTGCAAAGCACCTTTCTCAAAGTACAAATAACTCAGTCCAAGTCCTCCTGTGGCTATGTATTTCAGACCTTTTCTCCTTGCTCACAAAACATTTTCAGTGTTCTGCTGAACAATATCAGACTCTTCTACTATAGGCAACCAAGATTTCATCTGTTTCCAAGGTCTTTTTTTAAACCCACAGGCAGGTATTATTAAAGATAAAGGAAGGCCTCTTGAAGTAAATTAGTAGAGTCAGAGTGTGTCTACCTAGATCAAACACTCCCTAACTTCCAGAGGTACTTCGACTATAACTTCTAGGAGCTCTGAAGAGCCAGTGGTCTCGGTCTCTGGGATGTTATTTCAATTAACATTTGGGATGCCAGATCTGGCTACCATTGGCACAGGTAATCTCTTCTGGAGGATTCACCCTTTCAGACTTGTTGCAGATTCTAAAGAGAGGCTGTAACGGTCTTCTCATGAATACAGAATATGTGGGGCTGTCAAAAAGCATCACATTTTTTTCAACCGTCAACATGTAAGTATGAATATTTTAGCTTAGTATAACTGCAAATACTTGGGACTATCCATTTGACAAATATTACTGAAACAAATCCCTTATGGTACAAATAATAGGAGGGCACAGGAATCAATACAATGCTACAAAAGCTTCTTCCAAGGTAAGTCTATTGTACTTTGAAATAAGAGCTTTGTATAGGATAGGATCCTAAAGTTGAGTAAAATCCACCGCAGCCAAAGACCTTGGGTTTATGGTATCTGTTTTCTGAGAAAAGATGACTACCTCTCTTCTGCTTTCTTTCAGTTCCTAATATATGGCAGTTACTTTGCAGTGATAGCTGGGATTTTTCTATGCAGAAGTGTCTACACTATAATCACAATCAAATGCCAAAAAAACAACCTTTCTAAATATCCAAAGAAGCACGAGGCAGAAGAACAGAATGCAGAAGGCTATGGAACAAGACTCTGAGACTTTTTAACCATGTTAAGTGGTAGGTTGTACTGGAGTCAAACCTAACACTCATTTGAGTACCAGAACAGAGAGTGACCATATATTCCAGGTTAAATTGCGAAATAGCCAAACATCTGATTTAACACAGCAGACTTGACACTTTTTTTAAAAAAAAAGCAGTATTACATTCAAGCTATTTAGTTAACACAATATCATTCAGCAGTTTCTCAACATTAACATTTCCTTAGTATACAGAATACCATTTCCTTAGCATACAAACATAGCATATTGGCTATGATCAATTAAGAATATTAAATATTAACAACATGATGTACTTACAAATTGATAAGAAAATAATGTGTTTGTAAAAGCCAGGTAATGAAAATGCAGAATAAGCCTAGAAACTGACATCATCAGATAGCAAAATCAATTGTCAAATCAATAATTCAGGTATCTGCTATTATCAATTATTTGTGAAACTTGAGGAAATATTTTTTGCTTATGCAATAACCCTGTACAATCTGAGTAATCCCCAAAACATTATTCTAAGTAATAATGTTCAGGACTGGACTGCATTAAAGTGATACAAGAACTAAAGTTATGCTGAAAATGGTGCTTCAATTTCACATGCCCATTTTCTCGTCATGGAAGTGACAATTTTGGGAAAACAAATTTGTCCAACAGATGCTCCTAAAATATTCAGACCTTGTAGGGAGGCTTACATTAAGTGCTCCAGCTGAGGGTGGAACACACTGAATTGGCTTTTCTGAAAGCCAAAACATTACCACGGTTTAGCTAATCTTTGGACAGTCTATTCTGCTGGCTTTGAAAACCCCTTTGAAAGCCTACATATTCAATAAAAGTGTCTAAAATCATGTTTATACTAGCCTGTTGATCCTAGGGAGATTAACTTCTTAACATCCATCAGCAGCTAAACTGAACCTCAAGGAAAAAGACTTCAATCTACAGTTTGACTTGTGAAATAATGAACTTCTATTCACTTACTTAAAAGGTTTTAAAAAAACTAATTCAGCAAAAAATACCTGCCCTTCAAATACACAGGTTGCACTGAGATAAATACCACTCCCCCACAAGCATCCAGTAAACAATATTTGGAGTCATATTTAGACTTTCTCTATCCACTCCTTTCCAGAGGCTTGTGAAGTGTGATGCACATTCTGGTCCCAATAGCTATTCATTGCATTTTATAAACTAAATGCTCAACTCAGTCAAACATGGATTTGTATTTTTCATTGATAATATTGTTATGTTCAGAATTTGCATTTCTCTTAATAAACGCATACCATTGTGCAACGTATTTTACAAATAAAAAAAACTACATGTAGATATGAGGTAATCATATCAATCAATTTCAACCAAGAAATGCTTTAAAAACCCTGTCATTTTATCTTGCACAGAACTAGATATGGAAAACAACTTTGCAGCAAAGGCACACTATATCTGTATAACAGGAGAAAGTGTACAGATTAACCAAGCTACAGCTGAAGTTCTCTCTGGCTAAAAGTGTTCAGTAATGATTTAAAAACAGTTTGATAAACATGTAAATTAAGAAAGAAATTAATATGAACTTCTACTGTATGAAATCAGGCTAGTCTGTATTGTACAGTTAAAACTAGGTTCATCATAATGGTGTTTTGAAATTTTATTGATTCATTAGTAGCAGCATTCTTAGATAGCAATTCATAGTATTACTGAAGCAGCCAAGAAAATACTGCATCTATTTTCGGCCTGAACCTGAAGTCATAGCAAAATTTCACAGTATAAATGTTGAAAAAGACAAACGTGCTTTTTCTAATGTTTATTTATTTTTTTTCACCTGCAAACTGTAGCAAAACATGATCAGCTTTATTATGCAGACAGGTATCCTTCTACATTATAGAGAATTTAGGCATGTATAAATAGAAGAGCTCTTTAGGAAAAAAAGAAAAACACTTTCAAGAAATGAATAAAACCTTCAGTTTTGAACTCATAACTCCCAACAGCAATGGTTAAAATAATGTAGGTCATTCATTCCAAGAGATATGACAGCACCTTAAAGAGGCTGATCTATTTCCCTCAGTAACAATTTTCACATAACAATGTGTTAAAAGTTACAAATACTGATATGCACAAATAACTAATTCCTAAGAAAAAATATGTACAGTACGGCAGCATAATGAATGTGGTATCTGCAATAACTTAATATTAGCCAATTTTAATATACATGATACCATTAACATTCTCCTGCCAATGCACAGATTAAAAGATGTTACCATACCCTGTGTTCTGCCCATTACCTGGTGTTCCTTTGTTTTAATACACAATGCAGGCTTTTTTTCCTTGAAAGAGTCATGGGTTTAAAGCTAAGGTCAGTGAAACAAGACAACAGTGCAAGAGGCGCAGAGATGTTATGTGATCACATAAGAGTTCTTTTAGATAAAGTGTCTATAAGGCTATAAGAAAGGATTGGTTGATGAGCTTCCTGTTGGATATTGCCCTGCTGGTGCACCAGCCTAGAGGAAGAAGGGAGAAAAGGGAAAGCTTTACAAAAACTAAATACATAAAGCCATAATGTGAAACACAATTGCAACAAACTGAAAGCAAATATAATTTGCATTGATTCCACCAAGTTACAAGTATATACTCATAGAATAAAAACCATCTCATACCTCAGATGTTTTAATCTCTATAGTCTTGGAAAAGTATTCAATCTGGTACAGGGATCAACTAATCTAATGCCTTTTTAAAATCAAAGATTGTTTATAACAGAGAGCAGACTGAAAGAGATTACAGTGGTGTTTCGCAAGACAATTGCCTTGCAGGACAATTAATCCGCAAGACGATGGTTTTTTGTGATCGCTGTGGCACTTCGCAAGACAATGTTTTCTATGGAGAATTTTCACAAGACGATGTTTTTCGCAAGACTTTTTTTTTTAACCGATGCTTCGCAAGACGGTTCCCCCCCCCAATTGGAACACATTAATCACATAATATCTACTTTTTTCCCAAAAAAGTGGGGGAGAAAGTGTATGCTGCTGGCTTTCTAGGATCTGCCTCCTGGAAAGCCAGCAGCATACACTTTCTCCCCCACTTTTTTGGGATAAAAAAAGTAGGTCTTATGTACTTAATGTGTTCCAATGGGGGGGAACCGTCTTGCAAAGCATTGCCAATGGGGCTATGGCTGTAAATTTAAATGGTAGACGATGGTGAAAATAGCCAGGAACCAAAGGGTAAAGAGATTCTAAAAACACCAGAGAAAGCAGAAATGCAATCCCCCATTAACACAAATTATGCAGTTGAGTTCCCCCATTTGGGGAAATCATAGGGGTCAGCACACCCGAAGTGCAATGAATGAGCCTCCCCCTGGGAAAACCAGTTTCATGACCATGGTATTTCCCCTGCAAGGTATGAGTTGGAGTAGACCTTGCACCTCCTACCCCCTTCTGTGCCCTGCTCCCCCAAGGCATGGTGACCCCCTGACTGCACCTCCTGTTCAGTACAGGGCTGCACAGCCCCAGTCCTGCCAGAGGCCAAGACAGCTCCTCAGTGTTTTGGGGTGCCCCATGGGACCCCCATCAGGGGCTAGGTGTTCCTCTCACAATCCTCTAGTGCACAGGTATTACCAGGGGGTCACCATTTCAATGCATTCCAATGGGGAACCGTGTTTCACAAAACAATGTTTTCGCAATACAGTATAGCGATTTCCATGGAACGAATTAAAATTGCCTTGCGAGGCACCACTGTATATTTGGAGATAAATGGTCTCACTATTTTCACACCTTATACAGCCAACGCTGTTTAATATAGATCTAAACCAAGGATAAATGGGGGAGTTCTCTTTAAACATATGTGTCAACATTAAAGAGTAATTGTGTTAATTGCACATTTCTCCTATGTTTAGAATGAGTATGATCAAACTTCTTCATGATATATAGTATCACAGACAGGCTGTGCTGTTTTTCTATTTACTGCACTCAGGAACTACACCAAACTAGAACCAACACTGCAATGGTGTCTGAAATACAGTACTCCTGAACCTTCTATCGGTTCCCTACACACTAAGCCTCCATGTTGCCCTAAAACCAGCTTCTGGGAGTTCTCCAGTATTTTGGAAATAGCTGGGGGGGGGTGCATGGTTGGGTGTTGTGCCAGAAATCCAGCCCTAGGGAATTTCCTAGACTTCTCAAGTCTGTTTTGGAGTAAAATATGACAGGGTTGCCGCCTACAGGTTCTACCAACAGAAGAGATTGGCCAGCTGAACCACCTGTTTGGAGTCAGGCCATAAAAGTCAGGGATTACAGTGTGGGCCAATTTTTTCCTTAATGCAAGAAAGTAATGAGATACAAAATATCACAAGAAAGAAAAAAATTGATTTTTGTATCTCTTCAAAATCAGCTATGAAAACAATTTAGATTACAGGGATGCTTTATTTCTCCCCATAGGGGACCCAAGGCAGCTCACAACAACTAAAAATAAAATTAAAAGAACAAACAACAGTATTAGAAATACCTCACTTTTACAACTGTTCTGGTGCTACCATCCCAAATTCACTGTTATGACCTCTGTGACTAGTAATGTAAACCGACATATTTACATCACCAAGCAGCAAAAGAACACAGGGGTAAGAGAGAAGACAGTAGAGGTTTGTGAGGAGCACCTAGAAAACAATTCAGTGAGAGGGAATGGTGTCAAGAACAAAGTGGACAGTAGAGTTTGGAGGAGACTATTCAGCAAGGGAGCTAGACAGAAGAGGTGTGACAGAGAAGATGACAAGGAAATCAGAGAGAAGCAACCAACAAGCAAGCAACAAGCAATTGAGACAAGATGTGAAGGAGAAATGATAAGAGAGCAGACACATCTTTTATAAGGCATGAACATTGTCCAAGAATCAAAGTCCTCTTTTAATATTGAGCGTATTGGCATATGACTTACAAAAGACTCATCTTGCAATCATTGTCACATAACTAATTAGGCTGCTAGGTTTAGGTATCCATTGTATTATATTTATTTATTTATTTATTAGATTTTTATCCCATCCTTCTAGACATATGTCTACTCAGGGCGGCTCACATCCAAGAGCCTACCATGTTTCCCTGAAAATAAGACAGGTCTTATATTAATTTTTGCTCCAAAAATGCATTATGGCTTATTTTCAGGGGATTTTTTTCATGTACAACAATCTACATTTATTCAAATACAGCCATGTCATCTTCTACTTGCTGCACAATGCTGCACAATGGTGGAGGGTGGGGTTTCACTTAACAGGGGCTTATTTTTGGGGTAGGGTTTATATTACAAGCATCCTGAAAAATCATACTAGGGTTTATTTTCAGGTTAGGTTTTATTTTTGGGGAAACAGTAGTATGTAAATGGTCCCTCCAATGTTGTTTTCTACTGAATACATGAACTGAAGTCTATATTGCAAAAAACCTCTAAATCTGAAAGACTTCCAGATCTTTCAGAATCACTTACCATAAAAGGATTACTAGATACTCCAACAGCTGTAACTTGCCCAAATGGAGTTACTACTGGTTTTGCCTGTCCAAATGCAGCAAATCCTGCACCTTTGTAACAGAACATCAGAAATTAGCATTAGACTGGTAGTGAAGTACCACACCACACAATCAAGTTTTGTTAAAAAACTGTTTTACCTCAACCAATATAATGGGTTCAGATCCCATATCATCATGTTCCGTATAACAAAGAAACAGAACATCAGTATCCCACTTTAACAAAATTAAAACCTGTAACACATTTCAGGATAAAAATTTATCCTTATTCAATCATCTGTGTTACAGATACTTGAAGGATAAACATTCAGGCCTAACTGCAACATAAATTTACTAGAATGAAAATTATCAACATTACAGTAGGAATGGATCACACCACTGCACAAGCAATAGCACAAGCAGCACTGCAATCATGTGACCCACATTGTTCAATCACTTATGCAACAGAAACTGTACTGTACAACACCCTGATGTCAACTCTAATATACAGCTGTTTGTACAGTAAAATGTGTACTAGTGGTACAAACATCCTTGGATATAGATGGCAGGCTATCTTCCCTTTTAAAATGTAAACAAAAATCTCCAATAAATTCTCTACGCATGCTAAGTAGCAATTTAGCTGGGATTGTTAGCTCTTTTCTAGTACCAAAGATAATTCACATCAACAGTTATTCTTGTGCTGAAGGAACAACTGAGGAAAACAGAGTTTAAAATACAGTCCTGATCAGATAACTTCTTCCCACTATCCAATTACATCTTGAGGCTAAACCACAACATTTAATTGATCAGCCAAAATTATTATACAGTATAGGCAAGATGATTTTAACATTAATAGAGAAATCAGAAAGATGTGATTAAGTTACTACAGTACTCCCATCTGTTGAAACAAAATGAAATGGACAAGTAATTACCATTAGCTTGCTGGGTGAAAGCCGCCTGAGGAAAGGCTGCCTGGGGTGGAAATGAAGGCTGTTGGAAGTTGCCACTAAAGCTAGTAGGAAGACTATATGAGGCAGTTGTTCCAAATCCTGCAGGCATACTCATGGATGCTGTGCCAAATGTCGCTGCTGACAAGGGAAACAAGCACTCAATTACTTTGAAAAGTGTTCTATCCCTGCTATGAAATCACACTAGCATTTCTACAGAATCCCTTATGAAGCAGTCAATCATGTGACTAGCTTTAAAAACATTAATCTTTAGGACTTTCTAGGAACACAGCAAAAGCCCTGTTTGGTTAGACCCTTTTGACCAATGTAGTATTTGCTAGTATCTCTTCCAAATTTCCCAAGGTTTTCCACATATCTTTCTCAGAGCAGACATCACAAGTCACAATTAACCATCAACTATCATTAACTATCAGTGATTTTCTGTGTACAATAATATTCAAGTGGGGCAGGAGGCAATATTTAATTTCATGAATTTATTTATTTATTAATTAAATTTATACCCCGCCCATCTAGACTGAAGTCTACTCTGGGCGGCTAACAATAATTAACAGAATAAAAACAATATAATAAAATAAAAAAACAACAACAGAATATATTTAAGATGGGAAAAATAGTCAAGTGATTGAATATTTGAATGTCATTGAACGATTTAACTCACTAGTTTAAGAGTGTTTTCAGAAATAATTTACTGCAGTGCTGCAGTCAAACCTTTGCTTACAACCTGAGTTTGATCCCAACGGGTTCAGAATGCCAGCTCAAGGTTGACTCAGCCTTCCATTCTTCAAAAACTGGTAAAATGAGTACTCAGTTCACTAGGGGCAGAGTGTTCCTTGCATAATTATGTTGTAAACCACACAGAGAGTGCTCTAGCACTACCGTGTGGCTTATAAGTTGAAACAACAATAACAGCATTATAGCAGCTTTTACTAAACAGTCCAGTTCTGTCCAATTTAAAGCAGCAGTCCCATTTTACAACTGATCAACATACTCAATGCAACTGTTTGAGGGGGTAGTTGGGGCTCTTCTTTTAAAGGAAGATTGTTGTTTAATAAATCTGCACAATCTCCCTTTGGCTCATGGAATTAGTTCAAGTATTCTTGCTGGGTTGTGAGACAAATATAGCTCAACAGCATTGCTACATATTACCGTATTTTTCCATGTATAAGACTATATTTTTGTCTAAAATCTTTAGTCTAAAAATTGAGGGTCGTCTTATACACTGGTTCTTAACCTTGGGCTACTCAGGAGTTTTGGACTGCAACTCCCAGAAGCCTTCACCATCAGCTGTCCTGACTGGGGTTTCTGGGAGTTGCAGTTTAAAAGCATCCGAGTAACAAAAGGTTAAGAACCACTGGTCTTATACACGGAAGTAAGCTGAGGAGAGAAAAACCAAGTGGAGGGGAAAGCAGGGATAAAAGCGATCCTGCAGTGCTTTGATCTCTTTTCCCCTACACTTGCTAAGCCCCACTTAGATTTCTTAATTTTGGGTTAGAAAAGTGGGGGGCATCTTATACATGGGGGCATCTTATATACTGAAAAATACGGTAAGTAGTGTAAGCAATTAAGCTTTTTTAAAGATAATATTATTAGTTACGTTAATAATCTGATATTTCTAGAGGATTATATTACTGGAAAATCTATTACTTTTTTTCCACTCATGCTACGTACCCCTACCCTGCTGTAGAGAACTGGCACAGTCTTAATTCTATTTTACCATATTCCTCAGACATTAGTTATGGCTAGCTAGAAAAGATATGGCATAAGAGTGTTAAAGTAATTCTAAAACAGAGGCGCAGATGAATATAAAAATAGACACGATACAGATAGTTCACCAACAGAATTTACAGAAGCTTCTATTAGCAGGGAGGATACTTAACAGTGAAACCTGCTAAAATAGCAAACCCAAACACATTGTGACAATATACAATGGTTTGGTATGTATTAGTTTCACTTTAGCTACTATGAACACAAACTTCAAAACTCACTTTTTAAGCATCTACTAATGTGACCATGGAGGTAAGACATAGTAACAATTTTAGCTCACAATCCTAAGCACACTTCTTTGACAGCAAATCCTGAGGAAAATAATGTACTTCTCAGCATATATGTTTAGGATTGATGCATAAATCTTAAATTTTCGTTAAGTAATGTCAACATATATGAAGTAAATCACCTTCCATGCCCACTCCATTCCAAATTATGGAAGAAGGGTTGAAAAAGTTGTACATGCAGAGGAATCAGTGACTGGCAGTACATTTTCACAAGCAAAAGAACAGTTAGCCACATGGAACTTATATAAAATGTGGCCACCTACCAAAGTGAGCCTGAGGAAACATGTGAGAATGCATTGCTCCTGAAAGGCCTTTTGAGAAGTCACAAAGAGACCAGACATTGTCATATCAATTATAAACATCTTCTCAAAAATATTTTTACATCCTAAAACAGAACATATTTAAATGCCTTCTAAAAACTTCAAAACAAAATTTGGGTATTATTTTGCTGCTCTCTTTAGGGGCCCCAGATATGGGTATCTTTTAACAGAACACATTAATACAGACACTATTCAAGTTTTACAAAGCATAAGGGCCAAAATAAATCAGAGCTAAAGAAAGACAGTATTTACTTTTTAATATATACACTGTAGTCCTTAAGAGAAATCTAAAATACAGTATTAGAAGTGTACTAAAACCAGTGTGTCTAAAGTAAAAATACATTGCTAAATAGATTTCTCCTTCAAAAAAGTATGAAGGGAAAGATTTTTATTTGAAACTATCAGAGTGGATTTTTTAAAATTGATTTTTAAAATTTTAATTGTGATTTAAATCAATTTGATTTTTAAGAAAGCACAATTTTCATCCACCCTGGAACCTATGCACATAATCTGTTTTTGACTGTTTGATCCACATGACTAAATCTACAGTGGTGCCTTGCATAACGAGCGGCCTGTTTAATGATGAATCCGCATAGCGATGCGGATTTTGCGATGTTCTAAATGGGAAAACCGGTAAGCATTTCACTGCGATGTTTTAGAAACAGCTGATCGGCGGTTCCAAAATGGCTGCCGGAAGAAAAAAATGGCCGCCCGCAGCATTTTCGCACCCTTTCCCTCGCATACCGGGCGGCGAAAATGGCAGCCGTATGGGGGATTTCCACATAGCGGTGAGTTTATCCCCCATAGGAATACATTGAAGGGGTTTCAATGCGTTCCTATGGGTTTTTTTGTTTCGGATAGCAACAATTCCGGATAGCAACGATTTATCCGGAACGGATTATCATCGCTATGCGGGGCACCACTGTAGTAACAGTAACCAAATTAAGCATTTTATTCCATGAGAGAGAATGACTATTTCGAATATTAGTCTACCTACAGTTAGAAATTGAAAATTACAAAAAATAAAAACATCAATTGCTATCAAACAAAACTGCATAGCATGGTTTCTTTTTCTAACCTGATGGTCCTCTGTTATTGGTTTGGAATGGATTCGTTGAAGGAGCTATGGCAGCTACAGGGGCAGCCACGAAAGGATTTGTGGACGATGCTGCTGAAAAATGAAGCATTGACATAATAAAAACACTATACATCCTCAGACTGCCTAGCAAAACAACAACACTGTATCATAATTGAGTTTAAGCTATCGGAGAGCCAGTTTATATAATCATACCTCAGCTTAATAAGACAAGATATGAATGAGCCTTTTTTTTTTGTTCATGGAAATCCTCTGCATGAACTACATATAAATCAGGAATTCACTAGTCTCCTATGTTATATGAAGTGGAAACCTATGGTTACCAGCTTCTAAACAAGCCAGGATATTAAACCAATGTCAATCTATCCTGACTTGTTCTGAAACAACAGCTTCCTGGTTTATCTGAAACAGTAAAGGGGCTACATGTGTGGGCAAAAGAGCTAATTATTTCTCACTTAAGCTGGTGCAGAATCCTCTGAATGCTTCAGTATTTTTGCTAGAATAAAGAGTGCTATGTAAATAAATATAGTTTGCCTTCTGATGTAATACAGGACAAGCAATATTAGAGGAAATTAGTACCTCGAGTAAACATATCTCTCAAGCACAAATTAATATCATTATTTAGTACCTCCATATTGACCAGGAACATTTGATGATGCAGGCTGTGTATGTGTATTAGCACCCACTGGCACTGTTCCAAAAGCATTGCTGAAAATAATTCATATTAAGCAACATTAGAGCCAATTACTTACATACCTACAGCTAATCACTTTATTTGAAACCACCTTTTGAAGAACTGTATTCTGTTCCCGCTCTCCCCACACCGACCACTGGCCCTAGCTTTCATTATATGTCTGATAAGTTTCCTTTGCCTGGCTCACTGAAAAAAAAATACTGACTTTGTTTTTTGTACATTTGTGTATGTGTATTCACGGGAATTCTGCTAGAAAATACATTTCTTTTATTGACAAAGCACATATGTTATGATCATACTGCACAATGATATTCTTAATGTGACTTACAAAAACAAACACTATTGTTTTTCATTTTATTGACCATTTAATTTACAATCCATTACATCTCCTCATTATTTTAACTCATTAGCAGTTTCAGTTCAACAGTACTATTATATGATCATCTTCTCTGTTCATTAGGTTAACTTAATAATGCTGCCTCGCCTGCATCTATCTGCTGCCCATCAGGCTGTCTTTCAGTGAGATACTCTGACCATTGTATTTGGACTTTGTTGCACTGTTCAATGCAACATCATGTGAACTCTGGGTTTTTTGACTGTTAGATATGTTCTCAGGATAACCTAAAGCAATCATTGATGAAGACTGAATAAAGTAAGTGCACAAGCAGGACTGTCAAGTTGTGAATTTTTTAATATATAAAGTGTTAAAATAGTTAAGGGAGGCATGGAAGAAGCAGCCTTGATAATCAAAGATCTTTTAAAATCAAGGCTTGAACAATGGTTTACTAACATCATTTCAAAACATGTGGCTAGCTCCAACCAAGCCAGGTCACTCTATCATAAAAATCCTGACAGTTGAACTTGTTTTCCAAATGATGAGCAGACATGGATATGGTATGCAGATTTTTCTTTAAAATTAGAATAGTCTGACTTTCCAGGTTTCTGGGAGTTTAGATTTTTTTTTATGTTACCGGCTTTGTTCCTGCAGACCTTGTAAAATTTTCAGTCATAACAAAATGGCAACTTGCCAAATTTTCAGATATAAACCATTGGAATTATAACACGTGCTAGAATAATTGGATTTCCTATTGAATTTTTTTTCTTGATTCTCCAGGCTTTTGGAACTTCATTGCCCTGCAGAAAAGACTGTTTATAACTGATTAAGGGACAATAAAGATATAAATAGCGGTCAGAAAAGAGCCAGGGCAAGGAGCAAAGGATGCCAGAAAAACACCATTAGAGAGGAGAAAATTCTGTTGGGGGTGTAAGATTTTTTCATATATGGTGCTGTGATTTAATAATTCGTTATGTTCTAGTCTAGTCTTTTAATTACAGAGTTTGTTAAGATATTTTCATAGATCTGATCTAATTGAGATATGAACTTTTATAACTTAGAATATAGTTCTCTGGAGTCTATAGTTCTGTAGGACTCTTAGGAAGAGGTTCATGTGTCAGTTTATCTGATTTGACAGGATTGTAATTGGATATTAAGACAATAGTCATGAATGCACAAGAATTACATAATTTGAATGGTGACAATGAAGAAATCAAACTGTGAAAAAAGTTTTGTACTTTGCCTAAATCATCAATTCAAATGGAGATGCAGCCAAAACAATCAGTAGAAGACTAAAATGTGGAAGGGTATCTATTAAACTAGAAAATATCTCTAATGTAAGAATATGCCATTAGAGATCAAGGCCAAATTCATCCATCCTTTGCTGTTCCAAATTATGATGTATGGATGCAAAAACTGAAACTGACAGGGAATATAGACTCATTTAAAATGTGGTGCTGGAAGAAAGCTTTAAAGATATCACGAATCACAAGAAAAAAAATGAAGGGGTTCTAGATCAGAAGCCTGACATTTTTAAGGTAAAATTTTTGAAGGAAGTCTATCATGCTTGGAACAAATCATGAGGAGACAAGACAATAAAACTGAAGATATTCTTGCAAACTAAACACTATAGCTTCCATTTTTCAGTCAACGCTTTCCTCTTTTCCTACTGCCTGACACTTTCCCTCACATTACTGATTGAATCAGAATCCAATTTGAAGTGCTGAACTGGCATTTGAGCCGAGTATGGGGATCCAGGCATGGCCCTAAAAGCAATCACTTCAAAACACAGAAGTCAAAAGCTAATGTAGCACTATACAGTGGTGCCTCGCACAACAAGTGCCTCACACAACGATGAATTCACACAACGATGCCTTTTTCTGTCAAATTTGCTGCCTCACACAGCGATGTTTCCTATGGGGGATTTTCACACAACGATCTCCCTTTTCGCTCCTGTAAAAGTGTCTTACAATGTTTGGAAGCTGTTTTAAATGATTGCAATGGTTAGTCCACCTCCTGAAACCTATGCAAACTGATTTTGGTGTTGTTCTGACACTTCGTTAATTTATGATGATTTTTTGTTTTTTCCATTGGAAACCATTAGACAGACCATCCAATGGTTTCCAATGGAGAAAATTCAAAAAATCATCATAAATTAACGAAGTGTCAGAACAACACCAAAATCAGTTTGCATAGGTTTCAGGAGGTGGACTAACCATTGCAATCATTTAAAACAGCTTCCAAACATTGTAAGACACTTTTACAGGAGCGAAAAAGGACTTCGCAAAGCCATTGGAATGTATTGAGTCGGCTTCAATACATTCCAATGAAGGAAACATTGTTTCACACAGCGATGTTTCCTATGGGGATTTTCACTCAGCGATGGCAATCCGTTCCAATTGGAACGGATTAACCGGTTTTCAATGCATTCCTATGAGAAATGGTGTTTCACAGAACGATGTTTCACACAACGTTGATTTTTTTGGAACCAATTAACATCGTTGTGTGAGGCACCACTGTACTACAAATGAAGTCCTTCAGTAGCCAAAAATGTGCTCAACAATAAGGCAAAAGGAACATAGCTAAGATACAAAGCAGGAATCTAAACTTTCAGTTAAGTATTTAATTTCTTTTGACATGTCTAATACCAAACTTTGTAAAAGATTTAAGTTAAATTATATGGCATTAAAACCAATGTGAAACATTAATTCACATGACTTCTCATTAAAAATAAGTTAACTCATTGAAAACGCAGAAGCACTGCCTCCAACCCCTTTCGAGTATATTTGTTTCTATTTTATTCTCCAACCTCTAGTTGGCAAAATTTATAGTAAAATTTGAACTTTCAGTTTTAGTAAACCATGTTGTTTCCATATATATCCACTCCATGCAATATATTCAGTGTGGTAAATAACCCTTCACATGTTAGGCTATAGCTTCCATCATCCCTGACAATTGGCCCTTATGGTTGGGGCTGATGGGGGCTGGAGTCCAACATCATCTGTCAGGGCAGAGATTTCCTAGCCCTATCATAACCAACTCTGCCATTTTTAAACTGTGGCCTTTCAGAAAGTTTTCCACTTTCTGTTTGTAAACACAACTGGTTTACATTGATGTCTATCAAGAAAGAGTACCTGCTAACATTACTGGTGGAAGTATATGCATTACTAGAGGTTGCTGTGGAGCTGAACACACTGTCTAATTCTGCTAGAGCTGCATACTTGTCTGAAGATGTACTTGTCTGATTTGGGGCTGACACGGTAGGACCTGCTGGTGCCGGACTGGCAGAAAAGCCACTTCCCTGCTCACTACCACCTGGGGGAAAAAAGCAGATTAAAAATTCACATAAGATTTTCAGAATAAAATACAATGGTAGATATTATATTTTAGTGGATAATTTACTGTTACTTTCCCCCACACTTCCCTCTTGTTCCTTCTCCAAATACAAGGCCATACTCTCAATAAACATTTTACCACAGTGAACAATTTGTTCATCTCATTTTCTGGAATGTGAATAAAGAAAGACAGTGGGCAGGAGAGCTTTCTTGTTTTCTTCCTTGATACCTCACAATTATAGTTAGCCCTACATAAATAAACCCAACACACCTATACTGAATATTTATAAATAGCCAAACAAGTATAACATAGAACCAGCACGTGTATTATGCCTGCAATAGAGATGCTTGCTTTCTTTAATTCATATGAAGCAGGTTACCAAAGAGACAAATTTACAAATTTATCTCTTTGTTACTGCAGGAAGAACAAATACTGTGATGAGTAACAACAACAAAAGTATTTCTAACAATGTGAAGAAGTGCTGTAAATGAGTCACTTGAAACAAGGCATGTGCCATTTCAAGCAGCTTTTATGGCATGAATCAGTGAACAATAATTATGGGCATGAGTGTCTAGAAAATGATTGCAAAAAATACACTAAGAAGTGTGGGTATCAAAGAAAAATACTTGGTTTCCATTCATACTATGCTTCCAAAAGGTTTTTTTTTTAAGTTCTGTTTTAGGGTATGAGAAGAAATATTGCCTGTTAAATGCATGTTGAAGAGATACATGCTTTTGGCTTTAGAAGAGCTAGCCATGTTCTTTTACTTATTTATTTTCTTTTGTTTTTGCTTGTAATACTTCTGGCTCTGTATCTACCTAACAGAACTAAACCAAGCTGTTTAATCAAATTAATTGCTTAGAGTAACCCCAAATAGCTCAACGTAATTGTTCTACAAGATTAAACTTGTAAGAGCATCAAATTTTAAGGAGTGTAGTAACCACTTTTACTTAATAAGCTACTATCTTGTAAATTATGGTAATTAAACACTGCACAAATTTCAAATATACCTTAAAGTCAGCAGATGGCAAATTCCTATAATTACTGTCCAGGGACTTAACAAGATCTTAAAAAGGAGTGAAATGAGGTATATATATATTTACTTATAGTTACAAGGCTTTTTACTAGCTAAGAGGAAAATAAGTCTTTTCTGATTTAGGTTTCTAATGGCAAGAGCAAAATAGCATTAGATGCAAGACTGAAAATAGTTTAAAATGTTGTCTATATTACCTACACATACAATTTTTAGATCACTCCATACTTATAGACCTGTTTCAATGTTTTATTACTTTTGTTACATATTTTGATTATAACTGACTCATAAAACAAAGAATGGTAGAACTGTGCAATGGAACCTCACAATATCACTGATTTTAAAGGGATCTATAGTTATAAGTTAATGAAAAGTGAACCATTCAGAAATAAATGTTAAACATTCAACTCTAAATCCAAATTCAGATTACGTTCCTGCTTGATATATCATAAAATCTTATAATGGAATAGCACTGCCAAGAATTCTTTAAGTGCCAAGAAGGCCATGGCCAACCTATCCCTACCCCCAAGACCTGCTGTTTATTTATATATTTCATTTACAATCCCCAGGAATAAGCTACTCTCAGTACAGATTAACATTAAAATTACAACAAAACAAATTCAGAACTATTAATGTGAATGGGAAGCAGGTGAGGAAAGACTAATAATGAAAATTGCCCTGAGTTCCTTGAAGGTGCTGTGACACTGCCCAGTTCTGCATGCAGTCTATTATGGTTCCCACTATTCTGAGAATATTTACTATAATTACTCTACAAGAAGCATAATCTAGAGCATTATACTATATAAAACCAACTAGTCATGTATCTGTGAACATTATAGACTTTCTGCCTTAAGTGATTATTTAATAGTTTTTGTGTACAAGAGCTCTACTTTCTTAACTCTTAGAAGAGATTTGACTAGATCAGCATTTCTCAGTGGGGGTCATATGGCCCCCTGGGGGACCCTGGCACATTTGAAGGGGGATGAAGATTGGAAATTACTCTTCACACACTACCTCATAAGGTTTCTTATGCAACTTATACAATTATGATTTGGTCTATATTTCTTTTATATTGTGTTTATGGCGGGGCCAAAAAAAAGGTTGAAAATGGCTTGACTAGATGGACAACTCTAAAATTTCAGAACATTTTGCTTTGTATGCAGGGAGACACAGATGGTTGCATCAACCCCCAAATCAATGTCAATTACAAAATAATGGTAGAAACTTGTTTATAGTTATTTAAATTAAACTATGTAACTCACCACAGTGGAGAGCTACTAACTAAAAAGGCATCAGTCATATCATGAGGCACATGCCTAATGAATGCAACAGGTGCCTCATTAGTTAGCAACAATTTGTTACAGTGAGTTACACAATCTACCACACAGTCATTTTTGTTGCATCATATCCTATGTTAATGTCAATTACAAGATACTTTTTGTACTTATAAGGGGGCTTGTACCATGCACTATAAACATATGAAAGATTTTAAAAACAGACAGAATAGAGTAAAATCTATTTTTATAATTCTTTTGATGCCTATGTTTCTATAGTAGAATCACCAACAGTTGATGAAGTACGTGACAGTTTACCTACACTCAAGTTTCTTTGGAAGCACTGTCACTAATTATAGACCATATAAGTTATTAACAAACACAGTCTCAGATGTCTTGATACAATAACTCATAAAATATTGACACTACGGAGTCTAATATGAAAGAAAGTACTGAACATGCCAGGGAACAACACATTAAAGTACTGTTTTTCTTTTCATCAGATCCACTATGTCTCCATTACTGCTAGTGGAATATATCTACATACACTATGCAACTGGTGTTGACAGTTTATATATTGTGAAGCATTAAGAACTTCACCAAATCTACTGCAACATTAAAGAGCATAAGTACTGCCATGACAAATAGTGTAAGAAACAGGTCAAAGAATAAGAACTAGTACCTTGCCCTGTGCTGAAGATATTATCTAAATTAGCAAGAGCTGCATATTTATCTGCTGACTGGAGATTCGGTTTATTCACTGCAGTTTTACTGGCTGCAGTTGTGTTGCTCTGAGAAGCACTGAAGGCTCCAAAATCAGCACTGGAGGATTTGGGGAAGTTATCAAAATGTGCAAAGTTAGCATTCATTGATCCAGCGCTTCCACCTGTAACAAGATAAGTTAAACATGATGGATACTTAAAACATTTAATGAATTTCTCTGTAAATGCTACTGCTGATTGTATATGTTAAAAGGTGATGTACTTTAAGAAGGTTCCTATAGTTTTAATTTGTTAAAATGGGTGCAGAGTCCTAGAAGAGCAGCTGTTTTAACAAAGGTAGCTTCAATTATTGACAAAAATGGCACACTCACTTTAAGCTTCTATCTCCCTTTGCAAATTTAAACTGAAACTAAACAGGAATTCCCTTTATAACAATTATCTGACTATCCCCAGTAACAGTGAAATGTCTTTAAACAAGCACATAAAGATAGATAAATAGACATTAAGTTTCCTTAGGATTTTGAGTGATACTTGAACTACCATTGTACACAGGGATTATTGTTGTGTGCATTCTAAACTTTAAAGAATGAAGAGCAACAGAAAATACCATGTCACATTTTAAAGTTATTACTCCCTACCAGCACCTGCAGCAATAATGTATTTTAATATTTTCAAATTTAAAATGGGAAAGTTTTTATATACTAAATATACCTGCTACAGTATATTTAGTTCTTAACTTACAGAAGATTCTCTGATCAACATCTGAATAACAACTCTTAAGACATATAGCCCAATTTATTGTAAAAAACACTATGTCTTGGACAATACAATTTCTGAAAGAGTTTAAAAAACCAGTTTGTTTGTATGATTTTCTCAGAAGATTATAACAGAATGAACATTTTTGAGCACTGGCACCTGAGAATGGCAAAAGCTACAAGTAACCCTGCTATGAAATAGGTATCTTAATACTGTATTAAGAAATTCTCATGAAAGCTGATAGCTTTTATAGCTGATAGCTGAGTGGTCATCTGACCAGATAAGCGGAGTAAAAATACAATAAATAAATGAATAAAAAATTAAATATTTTTAATTTTAATTACAAAAAATGTGCTTAGGCTTCTATTTTTTATATATGTTGGGAAGACTCTTAGTCAAGTACAACCATGCTAGTAAATTACAACCTAACACCCTTTAAAAGGATGACTAACATAAGCAAATTTGAAGATGATACTGGGAATGCAAAAATGAAACTGTAAATGAAGTGAGCTGAATTTCCCACCTCAGTGGAACTTACTGCGCATAGCCTGGAGAGGGAAAGCAGAAGTAGTAAATTCACCAAAACTGCAGCTAGATGAAAGCGTTCTGAACGCTGGACAGCCAGAAATTGTGTGAGGGGTTAAAGTTAACAGAAGGGAAAAACAAAATTTTAAAAGAAAGTTTTAAGACGACACACTTTAACAAAGGAAAAAGGAAAAAGAAAATAAGTCAGCCTTAGATCAAGACAAGCAGCTTGTCATTCCAAGCAAATATTATAATAACATAAACAAATTAAAGAGCAAAGCAAATAGCCCTTACACATGAAATATCTTTAAATAGATAAATATATTTTTGGTGGCTTGAACACGTTTCTTCTGCAATTCAGTGTGCATTTAGTGTTATCCTACAAGATGTGAAATAATCTTTTTATCAGAGGTTAGCCAATATACAACACTGCCAGCAAATGTGACAGATTACTTCATGTGTAGGGAGACTTAAGAAAATACAATGCAAAAATTTCATGCAAGAAAGAACACAACCCACACCAAATACAGCAAAGAAAAGGGGGCATTCACTTCAGGTTTCCCCAGAGCTTCAGAGTGTACATGTTAAAACAAGTGCAGGAAGCAGTTAAGAGAGATTCTACACTATTTGTCCAGATTAATTTATACTAAGAAAGCTAATAATGTTATAGCACTTCTACCTGTATTTTGGTGCTGAAAAGCAGACTGACTTGCTGTGGGGAAACCACCAAAATTACTCGAACCACTAGACTGTCCAAATGCATCAAAGTTTGCAAAACCTGCATTTGCAGAGTTCTGCGCTGTAAATTGCAAATGAACAAAACATGTTAATGGTATGAAAATAAAAACAGACCATAAACTGAACAAGATGATGGCAAGCTTTGAGGACAGCTGTACCTCAAACATGGCACTGACATAAAGTTGTTTTATAATTACAGCACACGGGATAAAACATCTCTTACTCATGCCCTCTAATCCTAACTGTCTTGCCTGGAAATATTATTTATTCAATGACATTTGAGTAAAACACTAAGAACGGATTTCTTTGCCCTTCAAATCAATCAGCAGAAATGAAAGTGAATTTCAGTAACCACAGTATTTTAATATACCTTTTGTTTAGCAATGAAGTAAATGTTGATAAATATGGTGCTCATTTTTATCCCTGTCAGCAAAATACTGTAGTCAAGTATCTAATATTAAGAAAAATTAAATGTGACAAATTTTAGCCTATTACTGTATTAACATTTTCTTCTAGGTACAAGGAATCTATGATTGAAAACATTTTGGCCAAAATCCAAATTTAGAATTTCTTCTCAAACACCAATTTCTCATGCCACATGGCAAGCAAGATTTGAAACTGAGGCACTTCCTAAATATAATTTAGGCACATAAAAGCCGTTAAGTCACCCAAGCAAGCTTCCTTGATCTCAGCCTTTAAGAAGTAAATGCGCCTTAAAAGGAGGCAACATAACCCACATAACAATTGTAAGCAAATGAGAATTTTCTTAATTTTAATTGCAGTTCAAGGTTAAAACCAGTAGGAAGGTGACAAATTAAACACAACTACAATGATTTTGATTACAGGATGCATGAATCGGTCCAACTTCTTCCTGATTTAGGTAATTCCAGAATTGTTCTCTTACTATCGCTGCATTGTGATTGTTAGATTACAATAGTATGTTAATCAAGTAAATTGCATTTAGTTCAGACATCTTCACATTCAAGACCAGTTGTTCCCAACCCTGGGTAATCTAGATGTTCCTGGACTGCAACTCCCAGACACCCCAGCCAGCACAGCTAAGTGAAGGTCTCCTGCAGCTGCAGTCCCTGAAGACCTGGGTTACCTAAGGTTGAGAACGACTGGTATAGACACAGCATAACTATTCCTCTTTGGCTCTCTGGAATCCAGTCTCTTACCCACCCTTTCCAATATTCCTAATTTTGCATTTTCTTCCTATTTATCATATACTGCCTTAGCATTTATCATATACTGCCTTAGCATCACTTACACCGTTCTTCCTTCTCTCTTCAATGTCAGACTTTCATCACTCATTATCTCTTTTAGTTCCTGCTCTTTAAGTCACTTCCTACATTGTCCTTCTCTATTTAGACACAGTCTTGAACAAAATTCCTTTGCATTCTTCCCGCCTTCTTCAATAAAGCCTAGTGTCCTCCCTGACATTTCTGCAGAATTCGTGCTCACTTCAATTCTCTTTTTTCTTCGCAAGCACAAGTCTTCATTCATCCTTACCTTCAGGTTATTCTTCTCTGCTACATATGCTACTAAATTTCTTTGATTTCTGCACCATCTTCTAACTCTATTTAATCTGCTTCTATATGTGGCTTTAAATCCAGGTAATATAACACATTTCCCTTCCCTCACAGGCTGGACAGCAAGCTGCTGTATCTCTAAAACAACTGGTCATATCAACCTCAGATAACATAAAACTATAGATTTTACATGACATTTTGTAAATGCTTCTTATATGGAATGGCACAACAGAGATGACTCACTTCTTCTAACAACAGCATAAAAAGAAATGAACTAATAAATGAATGCTGGCCTAATGCAGTAAATAGTTGAAATAAAGTGTACGTGAAATATTGGATCACAATATTGTTTCAGTCACAGGCTTGCATCAGATCATTCAGTGAGTCTTTATATTCTTAAGACTAATACATGTAATTGAAGGATAGGAATACAGTACTGATCTGAACTACAGGGTTGTACAGATAATCAAAATAATATACGTAGAGCACTTTAAACAATGTAATGCATGATATATACTTGCTCAGGTTTTTGGCTATTGTCAGGCATGCATTTGTACTGTACAGCGGAGTCTCGACTTACGTTCGGCTCCACTTACGAACTTTTCGACCTACGGATTTCTCTGGCCGCAAAGTTTCACTTCAACTTGCAGCCGGAGAATCGACCTACGGACCAGAAATGAGGCAGGGAAAGCGCCAAATTTAAATTTGGTGCTTTCACTGCCTCCCCCTTCCAGTCCGTAGGCTGCAGGAAGGCGGGGAAAGCCGAAAGCCGCTCTTCACCTGCTGTCAGCTTTGGGCTTTCAGGGCTTAGAAAGCTGGACCCACTGGCCTCTTGTTTCCTGTCCCCGGTGCCTCACTGGCCTCTTGCGGGACAGGAAACGCCAGTGGGTGCACCTTTCTAAGCTCCAAAAGCCGCTCCGCCCGAAAGCCGCTCCGCGCCCGCTACCGGCTTTCAGAGCTTAGAAAGATGCACCCACTGGCCTCTTGTCTCCTGTCCCCGGTGCCCTCTGTCTCCTGTCCCCATGGGGATGGGAGGCAGAGGACAGTGGGGACAGAAGGCAGAGGGCAGCGGGTGTAGCTTTGGAAGCCCCGGATTTTTTTCTCTTAGGCTGGAACGAATTAAATGATTTTCAATGCATTCCTATGGGAAATGGACCCTCACCCTACGGAATTTTCGACTTGCGGCCACAGTTCCAATACGGATTAATTCCGTAAGTCGAGGGTCTACTGTACAGTTAAAACCAGTGCATCAAATGTGCCAATTCCTTGAGTTGTCTGATTTGGCTACAGTGACACATGCCTTAATTGTATCTCATTTGGATTACTGTAACATGTTCTACATGGGGATGCCTTTGAAGACAGTTTGGAAACTTCAGCTGGTTCAAAAGGCAGCTGACAGACTGCTGAATGGGGCAAATTACAGGAAGCATATAATGCCTCTGCTACAACAATTGCACTGGCTACCAGTCTGTTTCCAGGCCCAATTCAAAGTGTTGGTTATTACATTTAAAATCCTATATGATTTAGGCCTAGGCCAGCGGTCCCCAAACTTTTTCAGTCTGCGGACACACAAGCATGCCCATGTGCGTGCACGTGCAGAGTGCCACAGCGCTTGTCTGGGCACTCTCTCGTGCGCATGTGCAAACGGCGCTATGGCACTCACACGGGCATGTTGGAGCGCGCACAGGTGCCAACGGGCAAGCGGGGGATGGGGTGGGAGGTCTGTCTTGGCAGCCCAGTCTGGCTCAGGCCATGGACCAGCACCGGGCTGCAGACCGGGGGTTAGGGACCTCTGGTCTAGGCTACCTGAATGACCATACCTTCTCATATAAACCTTCCCTGTCCTTAAGCTCATCAGAGGAGGTCTTCCTTCCTGTCCCATTGCCATTGCAGACATGTTTGATAGGGACGCACTCACGCGCATGCGTGAACAAGTGTGTGCTCTCTCACACACAAGCATGCCCATGTGCACGTGCAAAGAGTGCCACAGCGCTTGTCTGGACACTCTCTCGTGCGCGTGTGCAAACGGCGCCATGGCGCTCACACGGGCATGTTGGAGCACGCACAGGTGCAAACGGGCTGTGCGGGGGTGAGTGCATGCGGGGGATAGGGTGGGGCGCAGACCAGGGGTTGGGGACCTCTGGTCTAGGCTACCTGAATGACCATACCTTCTCATATAAACCTTCCCTGTCCTTAAGCTCATCAGAGGAGGTCTTCCTTCCTGTCCCATTGCCATTGCAGACATGTTTGATAGGGACACAAGAGAGGGCATTCTCTGTGGCTGCTTCCAAGCTGTGGAATGGTCTTCCTCAAGAGGTTAGGTTGGCCCCCATCCCTTTATCCTTCTGCTAGTTAAAGACCCATCTCTTCAAGTAGGCTTTTAATAACCATAACTGAGTCCCTGAATGCAGTTTTTTTAGCTGAATAAGTTTGTTTTTAAAGTTTTAAATGTTTTAAATCATTCAATGTATTTTAATTACTATTATTGTTAGCATGTAATATTCCATTTATTGTGTTTACATTTTTTACATTTTTTAACACTTTGAGCTGCCTTTGAGTCCCCAAATAAGGACAAAGGCAGCTTATAAATGGAACAAAGGGACACAAGAGTGGGCATTCTCTGTGGCTGCTTCCAAGCTGTGGAATAATCTTCCTCAAGAGGTTAGGTTGGCCTCCATCCTTTTATCCTTCTGCTGACAGTTAAAGACCCAACTCTTCAGGTAGGCTTTTAATAACCATAACTGAGTCCCTGAATGCAGTTTTTTTAGCTGAATAAGTTTGTTTTTAAAGTTTTAAATGTTTTAAATAATTCAATGTATTTTAATTACTATTATCGTTAGCATTTAATATTTCATTTATTGTGTTTACATTTTTTTTTCATTTTTTAACACTTTGAGCTGCCTTCGAGTCCCCAAATCAGGACAAAGGCAGCTTATAAATGGAACAAATAAATAAACAAACTTAGTATTACGATAATATTTCTATGTAGTTCAAATTCAAACTGTTCAAATTAAGACTATGATTATAAAACAAAATAATCAAGTGTCCAAGGAAGTAGTTAACTGGGATGTCTCCAAACAATGCTTTTTAAAAATGCTCATACTGGCCAGTAGGGACTACCATTATCTCCTAGTCCAGCTGAACACTGCCTCTGGACTCAGCCATGATGTAGCATTATCTGAAGTGATTGTGGTTCAAGGGAGAGACGTTTCAGCAGCAACAGCCGATCTACATTTTTAAAAGGAAAAAGCTGCTGCCACCATTTCCCCATGAAAACACAACTCTTTAAAATATTTACTGTTTCTTTTCCTCGTATGAAACCACTAATAATGACATTTCACATTTGCTGCATACAAAAGGAGCCATGAAAGTTGGGCAACATTTGCACTTTTGCCACTGGTCTGCATTTGTATTATCAGGATCTAAAAACAGGACCTATTCTTTACTGACAGCAGGAAGGAACAATCTGTTTTCTGTTAAAGGCCAAACGCCTTCAGTGACAATCTGACTAATGCCACAAGTCAACAGTTGGTAGGCTGAAGTCAGTGGTTGGCCCTGCCAGAAACAAAAGTGGGTGGAGCCACTTCTTTCTAGCTCTACTACTGCCCTTATTTTTTTTAAAACTGCATCTGTTCTTCAGATGCTTCTCAACCTTTGCCCCCACTCCCCAAATAGTGAGCAAAAAATTGACTGCTCTGCCTTAGGTTTAAAGTGATAGCTGGTGTAAGGATTCTGAAACTAGGCTGCGAGCTGTATGTGACAGCCCTGACCTACTGATATAACTTAACACTTGAAAATAAGAATGTTGAAGGATTAAATTTAACTTGAGTTTTTTGAAAATAAGAATGTTGAAGGATTAAATTGACCCTACAGTCAATTATTTTTCAAGTGAATGAAGCCACATACCTTAGTTACAAATAGAATGGATTACCACAATGCATTCCTCACAGGACTACATTTGAAGGGTCTTTAGAAATTACTGGTGACAAAAAGGGTGGCATATGCTTACAGAGTCACAACAACTCTGTAACCAGAGTACATTTTACAGGGTGGCAATGCCCCTGGTATTACCAAATAGTTTATGTTCAAGATACTTGAGGGGCAGCTTCCTCTCAATCAGCTCATGCCCTGAGAGAGGAGGGAGAGGCCATTCTCTGTGTATCAATCCAGGCAAAGGGGCAGTTAATAAACAGGGTATTTTCTGAGGATACATCAAAACTGGATAACTTCTCACATGATGGGATTGCATTCTCTTTGACAGAACTGCTATTACACAGGAATTTATTTCATGTAAATTTACTTAGTGCTTACTCTGTCCCTCACTGCATTGTTGTTCTGTAATTTTGGAGTATTTACTCTATAGTAGAGATGGGCTATTCATATTCACATTTCTGGGATTATGAACATGAATAGCAGCACCACAGGTGTCATGGAGGTCCATTCCCTCTCCCCAGAACCAGTCAGTCCACTCACTGTTCAGCACTTGGCTCCATCATAATTGTTGTGCCAATCACAGAAGGAGCCCAGCTGGTTCTTCTCCACCTCTCCGTGTAGCTGACTAGTAATTGGCTAGCGGGGAGACTCACCCTCCCGTCCCCATGCCGGTGTAGTCAGTTGCGCGGAGAGGTGGGGAAGAGCTTGCCGGGCTCCTTCTGTGATTGGTGCAATGACGACAGAACCAAGCACTGTGCACCAAATGGTGAATGGGCTGTCTGGTTCTAGGAGGCAGGAATTGGCTTCTGTGACACCTGTGGTGCCACTATTCATATTTATACCCCCAAGGATACAAATACGAATAGCCAATCTCTATAGTATTTTACAGCTTGATTATAATTCCCATTGGCCTTCCCATTTGGTATGAAAACACTAGAAAGCATGATATAAGCTTTAAAAAAACTGAATAAATAAACCATAGCTATGCTTCTTATTAGATAGAGAGGCATAAACCATGGTGGTTCTTTCACTGTTAAAGATGACCTTCAGTTCAACCACATGCTTGGTCAACATTAGCTGCACCCCTAATAATTTCTGATTACGACTTCTACTGCCTCTTTCCTTCAGCTTTTACAGACCTTGTTAGCTACTTCCAAACAAAAGATGGACAAAATGTGACCAGTATGCTTTTCCAGACTCTTTTCTGTTTCCTGTACATCAATAACCTCATATTATCATTTCTCAAAAATGATTAAGTAGTACTTGTTGATGCTATAATTTCACAAATCATTTAAAGCAATGCCATTTTTAAAAATTCTGAAATTTACTACTTATTCTCCAAGAAGCATGGATTCCCATATTTATCAACACCAAATCCAGAAACACAAAAACCCTGTTACCTGTATGACTGTTGAAATGTGCAAAATTTGCAAAATTTGCTGTAACTGAAGACTGAGGAGCAGGGGCAGCAAATATGTCCGAACCAAGGTCACTGAGAAGATCAAACTGTTTCTTTTCTTGTGACTGTCCTTGAGACCGAATTACAACAGGAGACTGTAAACAACAAGTTGTAGTTGGCTAAACAAGCATGAGTAGATACCGATCCAAACTTTTGTTTTCAATACAGAAGAACAGATTGCTCCTATAAAACAAATTACTTTTTGCCCATATCAATATATTCCACACAGTAATAGTTTCCTGCTGACATCAGCTTTGATGAAGTGTCTGGCACCCACTCTCTGACATTATGCAAAGCTGCACAGAATGTTAGAACTTTTTTGTGGGAAAGGGTATCATTACATTCTATTCCTGTGCATTATGAATTTAACGGAGAAAAGGCTATAGGAAAGCCTTTGATGGCAATATAGGAAAACTGAAGATGGGAAAATTAAGTTGGAAAATATTCCAAACTTCTAGATGTTTGGATGCTGAGAGCCTACAGGTAGTTTATAGTACCTGAAGATAGAGATTATGACATCATGAGAATAAAGAAAGTTAAGAAAATGAGGCAATGGTGTTAATATGAGTGGGATGGGCAGTGGCTATGGAAAAACCACACAGAATCTAATGACTTGTGCTGTTGACTAAAAAGAGAAGGAAAAGAAATATGAATGCTGAGTAAACAATGAAGTAGTCTGAGAATCAGTATGGTTTGAAGAAGCAGAAAACAGTACGTAACAAACTGAAAGAACTGTGGATTGAGGAGGCTGGAAACTGTACAGTTTCTGATTGACTAATCTTTTCTGTGAACTGAAATACTGGATAAATCACAGATTTTAAACAACACATACTAAATTTACATCACTGGATTTCTTTTGGCACAATACTCACTTGAGATGGAGTACTCTTGTTTAAGTGCAGTGCTGGTGTAGACTCTCCCAGGAGAGATTTAAGTGGCTTGACTTCTGGTGTACTGCTTGTACTACTAGCTGAAGATCCAGATATAGATGCATGGACAGATGCCACAACTTTTGCTTGTTCTGGTGGAACATACCTAACAATAAATATATGTGTTGCATATTTAACACACTCTGGGCTTAAAATCACGGTTAGCAAAAATCACCCAACACTAGTACTCTAAATACAGTACTATACTATTTGTAGCTGACAATACAGATCCGCTATCAAGCACAAGCAGTTTCAACAGACTGAAAGGCAGATTTCACAGAGGAAAGCTGACTATAGACTATACATAAAATACTTCAAAATACTGTAGATTTCTATTTATTTCTTTGCATCTATGAAGATGCAAGCAAAAAGCTGTAGTGCGATTTACTTTCACATGTTTCCCATATACAGAAGCAATAGCCGTGTAGAAAACTATAATGCATGGAACAGCCATAAATTAAAGTAGAAAGAGAAGCAATGCTGTCTCCTGGAAAATTCTTATTCTGTACAGCATATGAGCTTCTCCCTTTTCTGTAACTGCACAAGATTTGCTTCAATCTCATGCCCCTTACTAGATCTTTTTTAAATTAATTGCTTATTAAATCAGCAAAGTCTTGTGGAATCTTAAAGAGTTGTCATTTTTATTGGGCAGATACTTCTAATTGCTGAAAGACAGTCAGTGGCAATTTTCAGAAATTAGGTTACACCTCCACCCATCTCCCAACAGCTTCCCCATGATGCAGGGGATTCCAAGGGGGCATCTTGACCTTCAGCAAAGGAACCGGAAATATTTAATTTATGAAAAACCATAATGACTGATGACATCATTGGCCTTATGTGGTATAAATTCTGCTATTATATTTCAGTCTGTAACTGTAGGGACTCTTAATCTTTTCTCAGAAATGTCAAAACAATTGTGGCTTAAGCCAAAGCAAAGCTCATCACCATGATGTGAAAAGGAAAAGTTCCAGAGCCTTTAAACTAGATGGATATGTCTTTAAGGCTGTGCTTTTTGGATTCATGGGCATATTTTGAAGTTGTTGAAATTGAAGGGCCTACCTGGTAACAAAACAGTTTATATAAGGAGAGACAAATAACTATTTACTTTTAAAAAACCTGAATATATGGTAGAGGTTGGGCTTTAGAGGCAAATTCAAAAACACATATTTACCCTATATAATACAATCAAATACCCATTTCTGGCTCGGCACACTGGCCTCCAACTATCTTCTTCCTTTGTTAAGTATGTCTCTGAGGCCCACAGGAGTTCTATGGGAAGGAAAGGTTTACAGGGGCTGGAGGCCAGTGTGTTTGCTTTACATCACATTAAGATAAAAGCAAAAGGAAAACAACATTACTTCAAGACAGCAGACTGGGGAGACTGTGGCACCTGTGGGTACTACTACGAAAAGTGCAGATAAACTAACAGTTGGAAAAGTAATCAGTCTGCAACGTTTGTCACACAAGACAAAGAAGGTGTGTGTGTATTCTTAGATTATTATTTTATTAGCAAACCGAAAACATTTCAGACTTGACAGGAAAAGATTAGCAACTTTAAACTATAAATGAAATAAGATATGCACTGACCATCTTTTCTTTTCGTATTTTTCTTGTAGAAATTCCTTGACCTTTTGTGGATCCCTGAAGTCTGGAATTGCTGATGATCTATCATCAAATAATCCTAGCCAAATTTGTTTACATACCTTTTGAAAGAAAAACAACTCAATATTAGGTTAAATCTGCTTCAACTGTGTAATTTAAGAAAAAATAAAGAGCATATTAAAAAGACTAGGACTTGGGGTGGAAAAGCTGTGCCCTTTGGAAAGGTGGGACCATCAGGTCTGCTATGCATATAGGCAAGACCACTGATTTTTTGAACAAGAGCAGCAGTTATTAGTAATGAACAGAACATATTAATTGTTCATTTTAGTTCTTTTTACAAATCTTCAGTTATGACTTGACAGCAGAGATTTGAGTATCTGCTAGCAGCTACTACAACAAAACACATTATCCTAATATTTAAATATATAGAATTTAAAAATAAATTTTCAACCTTCAAGGAGTCCCCCTAAAGGTTTACAATACTTACTTGGAAAACTCTCACTTATTAATTCCATTTTTTAAATAGTGGTTTTGTTTCAAATCCTAAAACAATGTTCTGTAAAGCGTGTTTGATGTGTTATCTACGACTGTTTAAAGTAGACCTGGGCAAAGTGCGGCCCAAGGGCCACATACTGTACGGCCTGCGAGCCACTCCTGTCCGGCCCGCAGACAGTTTTGAACATCAAAACTATTTATAGCTTTTTGTCTAAAGTTGATCAGTTGCTTATCTTTAACATACAGCAAAAACCTCTTTAGTATTTGTGAAGATTAACATGTTTAAAATAAAAACAATCATAACATCACTGTTTCATTTTATTTTTAAGTAAAGTTGGTTCAGCCCCCGAACACAGTTCAGATTTTTCATGTGGCCCCCCTTTAGAAATGAATCGCCCACCCCTGGTTTAAAGCTTCTACATGAACACAAATAGTTATAAACTATTATAAACTTAAATAAAGAAGAATCTTTAATATAGAAATCTTTCTTAAGCAAAACCTATTAGCCAAGATCTTGTTTGGCATCAGTCAACTGTAATACTCCACCAGCACAGTAACATGGGATCTCTACTCTGTTAAAATGTTGCAAGTATGCAAGCAGATATCCCTCTTGCAAAGAACCTGTTTGTGCACAGTAATCCTGGATACTTTCCTGTCCATGTGCTATTAAGATTAACTGCTCATATGTCCTTTGAGCAAACAATCTAATTGTACTGGATCCAAGCTGGATATAACTTTCTAGAACAAAGACAACATTTTCAAGAAACTGCCTTTAACAGCTGCTTCTTGTTGTTGTTTAGTCAATTAACTTGTGTCAGATTCTTTGTGATCCCATGGACCAGAGCACACCAGGCCCTCCTGTCTTCCATTGCTTCCCAGAGTTTGTTCAAATTCATCTTGGTAGCTTCAATGACAATGTCCATCCATCTCGTCCTCTTTTGTTCCCTTATCCTCTTGCCTTCACACTTTCCTAACATAAGGGTCTTCTCCAGGGAGTTTTCTCTTCTCATGAGATGGCCAGAGTATTGGAGCCTCAACTTCAGGATCTGTTCTTCCAGTGAGCACTCAGGGTTGATTTCCTTCAGAATAAATAGGTTTGATCACCTTGCAGTCCAAGGGACTCTCAAGAGTCTCCTTTAGCAGCACAATTCAAAAGCATCAATTCTTCGGCGGTCAGCTTTCTTTATGGTCCAGCTCTCACTTCCATACCGCACTACTGGAAAAACTGTAGCTTTGACTATGCAGACCTTTGTCAGCAGGGCGATGTCTCTACTTTTTAAAATGCTGTCTAGGTTTGTCTTTGCTTTCCTCCCAAGAAGCAGGCGTCTTTTAATTTTGTGGCTGCTGTCACCATCTGAAGTGATCATGGAGCCCAAGAAAGTAAAATATGCCACTGCCTCCATATCTTCCCCTTCTATTTGCCAGGAGGTGATGGGGCCATTGGCCATGAGCTTTGTTTTTTTTACACTGAGCTTCAGTCCATCTCTTTTTTTTGCTCTCCTCTTTCACCCTCATTAAGAGGTTCTTTAATTCCTCCTCACTTTCTGCCATCAGAGTGGTATCATCTGAATATCTGAGGTTGTTGATACAATGCGGTGCTGACAAGTACTGAGCCTTATGCATAAAAAATTGAGCTAGGAAGCTGCAACTGCCACATTATTCTACATATTACCCCAGGAAGTCAACACGCTTGCGACATCTATCCTGCACCTTCTTAAGTCCCTGCAAATAAAATTCTTCTCACTGCTGGTGTAACCACTCATTTGAAGCATTAGTTGCCTCCATAACACTCCCAAATCATTGTCCCTTTAGGTGCTGTGTTTTTTTTTTACTTTGGGGAACAGATAATAGTCAGAAGGAGTCAGGTTGGGAAAATAGGGTGGATGGGGCATCACTTGAAATCCTAAGGTCAGTTTTGTCATTGTTTCACCTGCAGTGTGTGACAAGCTGTTGTCATGCAACAGGATGGCACCTTTGGAGAGCTTTCCTAAATGTTTTTCCTTGATGTTTTGCCTGACCTTCGTCAATACAGTAATATTTTACATTGATGGTTGAACCCTGTTGGAGGTAGTCCACCAGGAGAACGCCCTTCTTATCCCAGAAAACTGTTGCCATTTGCTTCTGCACCAACCTTTGCACTCAGAACTTCTTTGGCCTGGGGGAACCACTGTGTCTCCATTCCTTAGACTGTTCCTCTGTCTCAGGATCATAACAGCAGATCCATGTCTCATCACCAGTTACCAGTTTGCCCAAGAAATCTGACTCATCTTTTGCAAAATGTTCCAAAACAGCCACCGATGACTCCACACGTTTCCTCTTTTGTTCGGTTTTCAAAAGTTTGGGGATCCACTTTGCTGCCAGCTTTCTCATTTCCAAATCGTTGTGGATAATGGCACCAACTCTCTCATGTGATATTCTCAGATATGTAGCAATACTTTTGGCTGATATTCAGTGGTCCTCCATGATCATGTCATGGATGGCGTTCACATTTGCAGGCACAGAGACAGAAACAGGCCTTCCACTGAGTTTCTGACTTTCAACATCAAAATGGCCAGTGTTAAAAATGACAACCCAGCGTTTAACTGTTGCATATGAAGGGCCACTGTCACCCATAGCTTTTGACATTTAATCATGGATCTTCTTTGCACCTTTCCCTTGGAGAAACAGGAACTTGATTTTGGTCCTATGCTCTTCCACATTGAACTTTTCTGGAGGTGCTGCGATGTTCACTTTGGACCTGAACATAAAAGATAAGTTAAAATCATAGGTAGTTGATTTTTGCACCATTGAATACAGACAAATTGGCCAATACACCTTGCAATTTATAGCTTTCTAGCTCAGTAGCATCTTAACAGCATCATCTTTTATGATTTAAAATAGTTCAATTGGTATGCCATCACCTCCACTGGCCTTGTTGTTAGCCAGGCTTTCTAGGGCCCACTTGACTTCACTCTTCAGGATGTCTGGCTCAAGAACAGCAACCACACTATCTGAGTTGTCCGGGACATCCACATCTTTCTGGTATAATTCCTCTGTGTATTCTTGCCACCTCTTCTTGATGTCTTCTGCTTCTGTGTGGCCCCTACTATTTTTGTCCTTTATCATGTACATCTTTGCACAAAATGTTCATTTCATATTTCCAATTTTCTTGAACAGATCTCTGGTTTTTCCCTATCTATTATTTTCCTCTATATTTTTGCACTGTTCATTTAAGAAGGCTCTCTTGTCTCTCCTTGCTATTCTCTGGAAGACTGCATTTAATTTTCTGTAACTTTCCCTATCTCCCTTGCATTTTGTTTCCCTTCTCTTCTCTGCTATTTGTA